TGGGAGACAATGTGGTAATCGTAGATGTTATCGGTCAAAAGACAGATATCTAAACAAATATTTGAGTAGATATTAATTAATATTGCCTGTATATGTGTGTGGGAGTGTGTGTGAGTGTATGTGTGTGTATGTGTTTTTGTGTTCAGTTGTTGAACCACCTAAACCACGGCTAAAAATCAATACTTTTATAATAAATAGAGACAAGAGACAACTCTTGCTCTACCTAAGATGTATACATATACTATTTGTATATATAAAGTGTGTGAGAGAGAGAGATATGGATGATGGTTGATGAGCGACATTGTGAACTTCTGTGTATACCTTTAACACCGGGAACGGCACCAGACATGATCTGGTAGAAGATGTGGTAAGAGCGCTCCAGCGACTGCTGGGAGATGACACGAGCCTTCTCCAACAGATCTGTTAAAGTAGATGAAATATGTATATATAGTAGCAGTTGAGTATACTACAAGATGTGAAGACTTACAGGTCTCAATATCAGCACCAGCCAGTTTACCAGTGGGACCGAAATGGATACGGATGAATTTACCCTGTTCAATTCGGAGTACAATTTAGTTAAGATGTATCTAAGTTGCTGAGATTTGTATACTTACGAAACGAGAGGAGTTATCGTTACGCACGGTCTTGGCGTTACCGAAAGCCTCAAGCACAGGATTGGTCTGGACAACCTGATCTTCCAGGGAGCCCTTGTTCTTCTGCGACTCATCCTTCTTGGTCGAAGCGCCCACAGTGGCGAAGTACGCAATGACCTTCTTCGTGTTCTCAGTCTTACCAGCACCAGACTCACCGGTAATCAACATAGATTGATTCACGTGGTTGGTCAACATGTCGACGTAAGCACCGTCAGAAATGGCGAAAATATGGGGTGGCACCTCATTACGGCGCTTACCACGGTACATCTTAGCGCAACGGTTAGTATAGACGGGGTAGCGCTTGTAAGGATTGATGGCAACGCAGAAAAGACCGGAGTAGGTCTATATACGCCATAACGAAGCGGAGAGAAAATTTATAGAAATTAATAAGACGAAATTTGAAAATTTAACGATTTTTGTTAGATTCACAATTTTTTTTTTTTTTTTTTTGTGGTTTTTAGTTAGTATTTTTGGGTTCTCTAATAACATTGGTAGACCTTTGACATAAATGTTTTTGTTTTGGTGTTTTCATGTCATGCTTTAGAGAAGCCCTCCTTAAAAAAAGTTTAGTAAAGGGTTTTTTATTATTATTCTTTCTAATTTACTTTTTGTTGTTGTCTGTATGGTTTTTTTGTTTTTTGTTTTTTTGTTTTCATAGTCAACCAGTTTTTGGCGTTCGATATTTATTTAAAGTTTTTTGTGGGTTTTTGGTTTTGTGAGAGAAATTTATGAAGATCTGTATTGATCCTTACAAGGTGTCAGCTCAGCATCCATTGTATATGTTTTGCTGTGGTGAGTGTTTGATGTGTATGTGTTTGTGTGAAACCGTTTTTCATTTCCAGTGTAGCCTTCATCGGACTGGACGGCTGAATTTGTTCGTATTTAGTAGAAGCTTTGTTAGGGCGTACAAAATACAAGTTGTAAATGGGGTTTTTAGCGAGGTTTAGGTATAAGATTTATAGAGCTGAATGAAAAGATGATTTTTTTTAAGGTTTTGTGAATTTTTAATAAATAAACTACTTTAACAGAAATATACTTTAGTCGTATTTGATGGCATATTTCTGGGCATTGAATTTGGAAAAATATTTATTTGTTATTTCAATGATGATTTTGGTTTCAAAAGCATTTTAGTAACATAGAACACGTTGATTTTTTTTTTCTTTGATATTGCCATACCGGTACGGCAATTACTTACATAGATGAGCTTGTGGTAGTATCTCTGCCTCAAGTTATGGAGCACAGAGGCATCGTTAAGGTATGTCAAGTTAGACATATCCTCAGCTTTTTCGTATTTCGGTGGGTTCACCTGCTGGAGCTGATCTTTCTTGAAGTCTTTCGTCTAGTTTTTTTTATGTCAAACAGTCGACCCATTTCATAACCCAAATTTTTGTTTTTTACATTTTATTATAGTTGTTGGTTAGGCGTGGTTAGCAGTTCGTTTATATTTTGATTTTTTTGAGAAAAGAGACCGAAAAAAAGAGAAACCCATATATTAGTGAGTTTCTGACTTGGCACACTTACGTAGATAAGCTTATGATAATAGCGCTGGCGCAGATTGTGCAGCACGCAAGGTGTGTTCAGCACGGTCATGTCAGCCATATCTTCAATTTTTTCGAATTTCGGTGGATTGACTTTTTCCACCTTCTCGGATTTGAAATCTTTTACCTAGTCATATATAGTACATTAATGTAGATTATGGTTTTTGGCAATGAGACAATCTAACCAAAAGGGTGCCGCATTAGATGATATTGGCTAAAGCAAGTATTTTTGTAGTACCAAAAATGTTTGTTTTAGCCGATGTCAGTTCATGTTGCACCCAGTCCAACCATAAAACTCATTTTACTATATAGAGTCTAGGTTCAATTGGTCCGGCATTATTTACCTCTCCACCAGGCAGACCGACAGAGACGATATCGCCCTTGGTGGCCTTGATCTCACCAAGGAGATAGCCCTCCTTCTCATCGGGCACCCAACAACTCTTCTTCGAGTCATAGGGTTTCGATTGATCGATACGTCTTTGTTCCAAAGACACGAACAGGTATGGGGTGGGATCCTCATCCTCCTGGCTGGCTAGTGGCTTCGGCATCTTGGTTAAATTTCGCTTTTAAACTTAAAAACTCGAGAAATTATAATTGGGACTATTCAAAAATTCTTGTTTCAATCGCGTCGTGAGCCCAAAACTTCCCTGTAATATAAAGAAGAATAAATAAATATTATAATTGTTTTTTATTATTATTATAATTGTTTTTTTTTTTTTTTTTTTTTTTTTTTTGGATATTTCTCAAGATTCTGTTTTCAAATTTTCAAATCATTTTTTGTTTATTTTATGTCTTTGACCCATTTTGGCAGCAGACGAAGCACAGATCTCGCTTTGTATGTGCCTGTGTCTATTTATTTTTGATATATTTCTGGATATATTTTTGAGTTTTCCGTATATGTACATGTTTCAATATTTCCACGAAAACTTTTCAATTATTATTTTTCTTTTTTTTTTTTTGTAAATTTCGTAACCGGATATTCGTTTGTTCGATCACCTCCCTCGATTCAGTTAATTAATTAGGCCCCGTTATTGTTCTTGTTGTTGTTGCTTATAAATAGTGTTCGAAAAGGAACAACAACAGCATAAATTGACTTGTGTGGGTTGTCGCCTAAATATAGATCAGTGCCATATACCCGCAACATATATAGATCTTGCGTGTCCGCGTCGCGTCTATATGTATGCTCTATGTGGGGCGTTGCTATTATTACGTAATGCCGAGTTTTTCACTCAATTTCCCGTTGAAATAAATATGTATTATATAACGTTTCAGAATGCTGGTTTCACTGATTTACCGCTTATTTGATAACTTCGATTTATCACTCACTTCGCTAGATTTGACGTGGATTTTCGAACTTCCCACGTGATATATTGTTTTATTCCTCAAATATTGACTCGGCGTGTGTTCTAAAACACACAAGTTGCTATAATGCAATGATCGCATTTGACACGCTTCTAGAGCGTTGCGATTTAAGCGATATATCTGTATGTATATATAATTCGAAAATCGGCCGAATAAAAAAGGCAAAACAACGGACACTACACGAACTTTCAACGAATGCGTTATTTTTAAAATTCTCGAAATTATTTCGAAATTAAAACACACACTTATATATAGAGAGAAGCATACATACATACGTATATGTATGTATCGTTAGTCTATATGTATTGTTGCGAAGCTTTTGCTTTTCCCATTCGAATCACCGCATGCCGTTTTCTAATACATATGTTCGCTATATCGTTCTCTTTCTAATGTCTATGGTTATTTTTAAAACATTTTCGAAATATTTCGCTCATGTATATATATACATAAATCTATATATATATATGATATCGACTGTGCGCTCTTTTTGTGTACGCACAGGTATTCAGGTATACTATATGATTTGTTCTAATCTAGTAATTCGAAATACTATTACAGCATTTTCGAATTCGAGCAAGTAATTGAAACGCAGATGTGCTATCTCTTTCTATATAAGGCATTGATTGCAATTATCAACAATTAAATATGTATATGAAATTTGGACAAAATACTTTTTGAATTCTTTTGTAAATTTTTAAAAGTATTTTCAAATTATTTTTAAAGTAATTTGAAATGGAAACTATGCATGTGTAGGTATTATTAATTTAATATATATAATTTTTGTTTTTTTTCAAGGCTTTGAAAACTTTTTTTAACTGTATGGAAATAACAACTATCCTTCAATTGATATTGACATGATTATGTTATATGAAAGAGAAGTTTTCTCGTATAAACTGGGTATTACACAAGACGCTGATTATGCGTGAACAGAACTCGAAATCGAATTCGAACACGTTGTCTTTTGGCTTCAAGGTTTAATTAAAGTAATATGAAGCAGAGTTACGTAGTTTACTGTTCTTTTTTTTTCGTTATCGAAAATGTGAGTTAGTTATAATCCAGTTAAGGGCGTTTCGAATAGGTTGTAAAATAAATCCAGAGTTGAGATAAAGCGTATTCCGAGTCACTTTTCAATTGGTATTTATTTTTATGTTGCTTTTTTACCGTTAAGAGTTTATTGTTCTCGGCAAAGATCCTTTGAACAGGATAAGCCACAAAGGTCAACGCACACACACACACGATTTATATATGAAATTTAGCTTTTTTTCTTTTTTTAGTTTTTTCGGCAAAAAGGTCAAATTATTGCCGTTTCTTTTACACTTTCAGCTGAAATCGCAGAAGTTTACTATACTGTGATGCGATTTGCTGTGCTATGCTGTGTCTGCTGCCGCTTGAGAATATCCAAAAAATTAGATCGCACATCAAAGGTGTTGCACTTACGCGCTCGAAAGCCGTTCTGAACCGTGCAACCGGTAAACTTGCCTTTTATACGTGGCAATTTGATACCCCATAATCTGTGCCGCACAATCGTGAAAAAAGCTCTCAGGCTGTCTCTGTATTGGTAAGTGTGTGTTTGCGTGTGTGTGCGTGAGGTGGCTGGCTATTGCTGTTTGTGCTACGTCTCGGCATTTTCTTGCTCCCTTTTTCGGTCTATCAGCGTCTTGCGACTGTCCCGTTGCTTTCGTTGTTGTTGCTCTTCTTCTTCACGGCGCCCACCGAAGCAAGTGGGCACTGCCGATGTGTATGTGTTCATCGCTGTCTCGCTGAGGCTGTGTGTGTGAGAGTGAGCAAACTATGATGCAATCGCAACAACAGCAGCAGCAGGATCCATGCGAGAGTGAGCGAAAGCTTCGCAACGATTGCGTGAGCACACTCTCTCACACGTACATAGTAATTGAGCAAGCCGTTGTGTGCGTGTATGAGTGTATTGACTATATTTCAATGACAAATTTTGCATGTGTAAAAATCCTTGTAAATTGTTTTTGTTTGCATTGCGCTCTTCAGTATGGTCGCTCAAGAGAGCACGGTCTCTCTCCGTCTCTCGCTTTCTGTGTCTTGTAAAGCTTTTACTTATTTCACACATCATTTTTTGTTGCTTTGTTTGTTGTTTTTTGTTTTACTTGTTTTTCTTGTTGCTCGGTGATCATTTTTCGCTATTTGTTTGATGCGATTCTTTTCTGGCCACCTCAATGCCAATTTGATCTGCCACCGGCTCAGAAGGGAGTGGGGGACGTTACCGAACCGTTCATTGTTAACCAGCAGCAGTTAATTTGATTAGAGTAAAGGCAAATCAGCTGTCTTGAAAAATTATAGAATGGAGCTGCTCGATAACAAAGAACAAGTTCGAGTTTTACTTCGATATTCTACAAAGTATTTGTTACAAATAACGCATTGCTACCAATCGCGAAAATTCTTGTGAACTTCAAAAAGCACGCACACATACACACATGCATAGAGAAAGGCCGCAGACGCCAGCGTTACAGATACATCAGCTAGAGATACAGATGCTAATAGATACATAGATACTGATGAGAAGTGCCAAATCAAATAAATTGTTGTCGGCGTCCTTCAGCGCAATGCAATGCATTTTTTTCAATGCTAAACGAAACGCTCAGCGTGCAGTTCACACTGCGCTGCTGTGCTAAACATAGGTACAATCCTAACCCATCCGCCCTGTTCGGCGTTTTTCATAAGAATGTGAATCCTTTCAACGCAGCGCACATTCTGCGCGATTCCCAGATTCCTAAATTACCCACCAAACACAAAAATAATAATATAATATAGAAAATACAAACTCAGAAATACCTTTCATAAATGATTTGAATATTAAAACTAACAAAGAAACGAAAAATATATACACATACATATATAAAATCAAATGCCAAGACAAACAAATTTTGTGAAAATTTCTGAAAAATAAAATTAAAAAAAATTTTTTTTTAGCTTATTTATAGTTATAAATTTTGATTCGCTTTCGCCACAACGTGCCTGAAAGTCTTTCATATGCGTAGCATAGACGTGGGCGGGGTGGAGCGGTAGGTTGGATAGGATCTTTGCGCCGCCAACGCTTGTTGAATGGAATCTTCATGAAACTTTATAAACTGAAAAAACCAAAATATTCATATTCAACATTTTCTATGCTTGCTTTCAGCCAGATGAGCAATATCCTCACATATAATGTGCTTCGCTTCTTTTCGCACATAAGATAAAATGATCATAATTTTGTTAGTCTCTTTTCGAATTTCATTTTATATTTTTTTTGAGAAAATGTTTTTGTGTATTTTGTTGAAACACAATCTGCGACATTGTCAGAAATAATTTTACGCAATTTAACCAAAAAACAAAACCAAGCAGAAGAGGAAGAGTAGCAGATAGAGAGATCCAACAACAATTGCGTCGCATATTGCCAACATCAACACAATTTGAAATAACAAATTTTTTTTTGCACAGATTTGAAATCAGAAAGATAATTTTATGTGTTTTGACATACACGTTTTACTTGAGACCCAAATATCTATAATAGATACGATTTTATAGGGTATGCGCTGATTTGTCGCGAATGTTTGATTCGTGCCATTCGAATGTTCCAGAAATCAGCAATGGCATTTTTAGTTGTTTCGCTATAAAATCAAACAATTTTTGTATACTCTTTATTGACCTGAAAATATAAATGTTTCTTTATTTTTATTCTTTTAATAATACTAATAATGCCAATAATACTGTTCTACCTCCAAGCAGGGAGGAGCGTGTTCCTGTAGAGATTGAGTACCTAGTTCCGTTCTTCACCAAGTGAAAGTCAATCCCCTATTTAGAATGTCAATATGTAAAATTGAATAAAGTGTTTTAAACTCCCTCGCAATAAATACAAATAAAAATTAAATATATTTAGTATTTTCTATATGAATATAATTATAATATCAGATATGTATATGTAACAATTAATACTAATACTATTGCTTTTTCTAATATTATGTGAGCCTATTGATATATGTGCTTGCATCATCCCTTTTCACATTCTAAAGTTATATATTTATTAACTTATATTATATATAGAGTATATTAATAACTAATAATTTGGTTGACATGCATTATGAGACCGTCTTTTGTTAGCTACTTCAGATAATTCAGAGCGATCGCCCAGTATTCGCATTGATGATGTTGTTTACTGCTGCATATAGGAAAGCAGATCCCCCAGAATAAATGGTTGTCCCCAATTGTCACTGTTGTTGTTGCTATTTATTGTTGCTCTTTGTTGTTGTTGTTGTTTTTGTTGCTCTCATTGTGTAAATGAGAGAAAATTTTCGGTTTTGAGTCATTGACGCAAAGAAATTTTTGCATTTTAGTGTCAAGATGTTTGGCATGCGCAACACAAAATGTTTCAAGATGAAAGGGGCGCCGAGTAGAGGGCGTGGCTGGCAAAATGCGAGGCAGCAACAATTATTGCAAGCAATGGGCTATTTCAGAGGCAACGTCAAACGATGTCCATCAAATGCCCGCCACTGCAACGGCTGCCAAAAAAAAACTAAACATCCCACAAGCTCACCAAATAATAGAGGATATATTGTGAGGAATTGAGAATAATTAAAAATGGGCTCATGATATATGGGCTATCATATTTGATCGTAAATAGATTGGAAATTAAAGGCGATACAAATTGATGGGGTAAAAATTATGATTTTGCAGTCAAAAGATATGAGGGATATGAATTTTGGAATTCTCTCAGGAACTTGTTATGGTTGAACTTTTAATCTTAAGGAACAAAAACTCATAAAGTATTTGGATATTTTTTTTTTTTTTAAATTAATTTTACATTTAAATATGCTTAAAACTTTATATACCAAATCGCAAACTTACTGAAACGGAACCAAAATCAAGTCCAAATTCCTTTTAAATATAATTCACAAAATATATATAATAAATTCCTTAAACAACTTGAATCCCAGTTCCTAACTCCTCTAACGAACCCAATGTCTTAAAATAGTTTCCAATCTAGCTTAAGTTAAGTTCATCTTCAAAAAAAACTTGATCCGGTTCATTTGTGAGCCCACGTTATAGAGTTCCATAAGTAACGCCGGCTATTTGCTTTCCTTCTGGCAAAAACTGCAGAAAATTTTGTTGCTTGAGCAATTGGTGCAGAAAATATTTTTGTAAAACGGCAACCGTGACCAAAATACATACATATATTCTATAGATAACTCTTGTCTTTCTCTAAATGCATTGGAACATATCCAAATTGTCGGTATAAAAATATCTATCGTCAGGTCCGATGTAGCCGGTCGTCGTGCAGTGACTGTCTCTAATCTCTTTGTATCCCACTCTCGCTACCTCTCTCGTGCCCACTCTCTCCCTTGTTTGCCTGCTTAGGTGCCCCATCATGATCAGATCGTTACCAGGTAGCCGAATCCATTTGAAACGCTCGTAAATAATTGCAAATGAATGAATACTTCCTGAATTACGGCACACAGCATTATGTAAGATCTGCAAGATATGACAGATATAAGATATCTGTGAGTCGACAGACGATTCCTTCACAATTATGTTAAGTTCATTCGCCGTTAAATAAAGTAAAGTCCACTTGCAACTGTCAATCACTAATGCTTCCATCAGCTGTTTTCCCGTTTTGCACTAGTTTGGCATTGAACCAGCTCTATATGATTTATGACTACATCAATTATGTTCAAAATATGTATAGAAAAAAAACAAAACTACTCCATCATCATCTTGACATCTTTTTAAGCAACAGAACAATAAAATACAAACGGATAAAATTAGTAACAATCTTATAATAATTAACCTTAATATTTATTTAAGGTAAAATTAAAAGTAATTTGTTTTTTTTTTTTTTTTTTTTAGTTCTGGATGTTTTTTAGCATTCAAAATCGATATATGTGTGAGATAAATGTTTAAATAAAAGTTGTCATTATTTTTATTATCTAACAAAAAATTGCCCTTCAAAATATTCTTTTATTATTCTGATAGTAAATGTTATCTGAATTGATCTCCTTATTTTAGGTTTACATTTAAGATATATTAATAATAATTGCATTTTATTTATTTATTTGATTTTTGATAATAATCAGACCACGACGTTTTTTAAGTAGTTTCCTATAATTTTATTTTATTTATTTATTTTTTTTTTTTCATTTTACATTTACAAAAATATTTTTTATTAACTAGAGATAGGTTTGATTGATTTTTTTAACAAAATTGTACTGTACCCAACATAACTTCACTTTACCTATCCTTGACTTGACTTTAACGTTAACTCTAACCTCAAATTACCCTTACAAAAAAAAAAATTATTTATAATATTTTTAGCTTGAGTTAGGCCAAAATGCCTCTTATAACAAACCATTTAAGCTTTGCCATTGACATTTTGTAATATATTACTACTGTGTGTGTGGTAATATATTGATTAATTGCCCTGGCTCAATTGAGAATCGCACACGCATATTAAAATATATAGACTTATATATATATATATATATATATATATATGCATATTTACATCTGACCAAAACATATGTATATACATATACATATATGTGCAAATATCGTTTCTTAATTAGCCAATAAAATCGAATCATTTCGACTTAGTCACTGATGTGTGGAGCATTAAAATTATTTTGGTAAGCATTTGTCACCCAATTAAATTGACTGCAGTTCAAGCAATGCGAGTGCAGAATTTAGATAGACATAGATGCACATATATGCATCTGTAGAGTCCGCCCAGACTTTTTATTAATGATGAGTGAAAATTATAAATGAAAATATTTTAATTCAGTGGCAGCCGCTGCGACCCTCCGCTGGCTAAGCAGCGCCCCATTGGCGACGCCACTGTGCGCAATTGATTAATCATATGCGAAATGCTATAGACAGCCAACTCAAGTGACTCAGTACAGTACAGAGGTACATGCATATACATATATATCTATATATATACATATATCTATATGTAGATATTTTTCAAATTTATTAACGACAAGCGAAAAGTATTTTTAAAGCATATATCACACTCCAAAATTAATGTGCAGGTAAAAGATAGATAGATATATGTACTAGATAGGTATATACAAGTGTATATATACATTCAGGTCAAATCATATCCTTAATGCCTGCCATAGTCAGGCCATGTGCTGAGCTGTCCCAAAAAGCAAACTGAATATAAACAACAGTTTATATACTCTGACTATATACTAACTAGCCCTATGTGTATACCTCTGTCTCTCTCTCTCTCTCTCTTTCCGTCTCTCTATGTGTGTGTGTGTGTGTGTGTGTATCTACTAAATCTAAAAAACATTCATATGCGTTTAATATAGCCGCTGCTTTGGTCTAAATTTAAAACAAAAGCTATTCAGTTGCGAAGAAGCGTAGAACTTCAACACAAATGAACATTTTTTTTTATTTTTTTTTTTTTCATTTCGACTGTGCAGCCGTATCTCGTGGCTATTTCAAAATATATACACATATATCTAGACGAATATCTAAAATTTACTAGCTAGACAGAGATAGAGAGATAGTGAGGGACAGAGACAGAGATAGTTGAGGAGAGCGAGATAGCTGGGCCAAGCGAATCTGTGGCTGTGTCCTGAGCAAAGCATACGCCGTGTGGTACGTCTAAAGAAAAGTATCTCACAGATACATTTAGCTTTATCTGTATCTGCATCTGTATCTGTATCTGTATCTGTCGCTAGTAAAGCAAAACTCTTGCGGCAGTCAGCCAGAGCCTCACAGTCACATCCACACTCACATGTCCACACTCGCGTCCCGTTTCTGCAGCGCTGTGTTGGACTCTTCTTCACTTGTTTTATTTTTTCATCTATCTCGCAAAATGTTTCAATTTATCTATTTTTAGTCGCAAGTTTCTTTTTGTTTATTAGTTTTTGTGCCTTTTGGCCGACGTCTATGTATTAGTGTAGTATATAGTCGATATACATACACGTATATATGTATGTGTCTATATGTATTTGTGTAGCAGTGGGTCGCACTCGATTCGACTGATGTTTCGCCCCTCACGGCTCCTCGCCCCGCCCCTGCTCCGATTGAACGTCACAACTGTGGAATGCTTTGGCTCTGGCTCTTCCACTGGATACGCACACATTGTTTTAGCTTGTCTTTCATTTGTGATTTGCACCCCCAATTGTTATTGCTGTAAAGCTCAAGGTATATCTGAATACATACTCTCTACGTGCCACATACCTATATATGTATAAACATATACTTATGTATGTATGCCTTATACATATGCAGATATCTCAAGCATTCGATCAGAGCGCACAGAGCGCTAAGGTCAAAACATTTTGAGGCAAAGGTGTCATAATATATACATACACATATTTGTATATAATGCATATATGTATAGATACACCCATACATATGAGTATATACACCAGCTACTTTACGTAAGCTGGATCCGTACAGATCAGATCAATTAGATCAGCCAAAATTATTGAATTTAAGCGAAATATTTAAAAAACAAACAAGACAGAATGCTGCAGTCGGGCGTTGCTGACTGCATAATACTCGTTAATTTATTTTTGGTAAATCTTCACATGGAGTCTTCAGTAACTTGAGTGATAAATTTTGGAGCTCTAACTACCAAAGGTGCCATAGAGCATATATACCTCATTTTTAGACGGACGGACTGAAAGATTCACATTGCAGAAAACCAATATGCCCTTTTCATTTCATGAGCGAGCATAAATATAGAAATGTTCTACAATCTGTCATATATTCATAAAGAGATAAACATGTATGATAGATGTTTCTGATACACACTACATAGATATCAGCTTCGCAAATAGTCTAGGATCAAAGACAGAATCATAATAGAATTATTTAAAAATGTTTAAGAATTATTTTAGATGATTTTATATACAATATTTAAACTGTTCTACCTTAATTCTTTATTTCAAACTCCAAGCACATTAACTGTATATTTTCCATAGTAAATATATGTATATATACAAGTCTATATATATATATATATATATATATAATTTGTTATACTCGTGTATACCCATCATAAACAATTATAAAGAATATGTTTTGGCAATTTAACGCCCCAATAACCGCTTCGGTTAAATACAATACAAATCTATCTAACATATCTGGCAAACAAGGCCATAATCCGAATGAGCTGTACAAATGTTTTTTTGATACGCCGATTTATATAGTTACAGTTGCATTTGCCTACGAATATTTGGCTAGAGAACCAGCCCAGCACCTGGCGGGCGACCTTATCGATACACTTGGAGAAAACGGGCAATTAATAATATAAATATGATATAATAAATAAGAAAAATAACATAAAATGTAAAATGACAAAATTAAGTACATGCCAATAAATAATTATTAAGCAATTAAAATTGTGTTTAAAAAAAATATTAATAATTCAAAACAGACCCTTTCAATATAATTATTCATAGAGATAATGAGAAGTTTTTACAATTCATTAAAATAAATAATATAAAAAAAATTCTCATTAAATTTTTTCAACGATCTAAAAATATTTTATAGTAATAGAAAAACGGATAATGTTTATGCCTATTTGACTCTCTTTTCCCTCAGTGTAATATACTTTACTACATGGTATAAATCAATATTAGCTTATCATGACCAACTGTGAGAACTTATGCAGCAGGCCTAACAAAGATATTGCGGATATATCAGGGTCTACAACCATTCTAGACGAGACATTGCCATTCAATTGTTTTTCACTTTTGCGTGCGTTCGATCATGGGCTACTGGCTAGAGCTGCGCGCCTGGCTCCTGCGCGATCCTGCGAAGCTTATACGCTATCTCGTTCTCTTCATCTGCAGCATCATTGTGACAGTGCAGCTATACGAATGCTTCTCAAAACTATCCGATCCGCCTATATCCACGCATTCGTATTACAATGTGAATCAGACGATTGAAATGCCTGCCTTAACGATATGTCGTGAACCGCCCTACAGAGAGGAAGTCTTGTCAGTGAGTTTTGTGAAGGACATTTAATAAAACGAAGGATTTTTCGAAAACATTAGTGCGACATTATCAGTGCAATGAATAGTGCTATTCTTGGTTAATTTCAATAATTTCAAAAATAAAAAAATTAAAATTATCATTTAGTGTAACAGTTCGAAATACTTTCAACCTATTACTGTATATATGCAGTTTCTCTATATATAAGGATAAGTACACTAGTATATACCTCACACAAAATTAATTTGAAAATTCTCTAATTTTATTTATATCCTATATATAATAATAATATTATAATAACAGAATAATAATAATGACCATTTCGGTTCGAGACATACTATGCACGTTACTAATATTATTTACGATTATTACGAGCCTACGTCTAACATAAAAATTTGTGTTTTTATCACAAATATATTCTTGGAAATCTGATATTGTCTGTATCTGTTTATGCGTCACTTTCACTTACATCGTAAATTCTAGGTATCTACTTTTTACATACGGGCAGGCAGCTGAAACTATTTTCATTTTTAATGGATGTTTTAAAGGTCGTAAAGCTGACATATCATATCCTTTTATACTATTTATTATTTATATATATTGACAAAACTAGATTCAACTACAACTATAATTAAATACATGTGTATATATATATAATGAGTCTTAAATGAAAATAAACTGAAAAGTAGTAGTAAAAAAATATAATACCCAGATTTTCCGTTGCATGAGTTCAAGGCATAAAGAAAGTAAATCACTGCCTAATTGAGCTTAATATACGTTTGCTCACACTCAGGATCTATCGCGCGGCTACTGTCCACATCCAAAATTCGCCACCTGTTGGATGGATTATCCCTTTGGCGAACTATCGTTTGAGGATTTCTTTAACAATGCCACATTCAGCCAGGAGGAGACATTCTATTCGTATGGGCTCAACGGGGAGAGGTCCAGTAAGTATGATAGACAAATATCATCCATACATAGACATACCAAACTGTTACCTCTACAGATGTCGCCATCGATAGCAGCGTACACTTCTATATGGGTCGCTGTTATACGGTGCGTCCACTCATGGACATGAAGCGGGTATCCAAGTCGGTCGGCTATTCCCTAATGCTAGAGCACAATATATTTACATCGGTGAGCGATGTGGACTTGGCATCTGGTGCGGGCTGGCATATCTTTCTGCATGATAAGCGTGAAAATTTTACGGGTAGGAATTGTATTTGAATTAACTACATATAAGTTAATACAGTTGTCACTCGCTATAGAGATCAACATGAAGGGCTCGGGGCGCGTCGAATATGTCTTTGCGGGCATCAATGAGCAGATCGAGATCAAGCTGCAAAGTCAATATTTTTCGAACGTGGAAACACACAAGGAGACCTGTTCAAGAAAAGAGGGCTACAGTGATATAAAGGTATGATATAGTGAGATACCCTCTAAATACAGGTGAAGTATATACCCACGACGATCATTTCAGTGTGGCGAGATATGCATCTGGCAGGACTTATCGGACGAGTCGGACTGTTCGGGACCATGGATGCATGATATGAACCTTGAGCCCTGCAACGATTCCGACTCCATGCGTAATCTGATCAAGAACTACAAAGAGTAAGGCCCATTCTATCCATCGATTCCATTTCATACTGTTATTCTGTCCATATTCTAATCAGGGTATACGAAAGCGACGATGACTACGAGTGTAACTGCATGTCACCCTGCGAGTCGCGCATCTTTACAACCTATATACAGAGTAGGAAACCCTTTTACCAGCCCGAGCCACGGACCCTTCTCTACATTTACTACACAACCAAGCTTATATCGGTAATTGTTTTAGTATTGTTTATAATCAATAAGAAATGCAGTTACTTCGGTTATCTAATTCAAATATCAATTAGAATATGCATATAAATTTCTAATTAGACCCACTGCATGATAAACAATAGTTCGTACACCGAACTCAAATATGATTTATTGTTGCAATGACCTTTTCATATTATCGATAGAAATTTCGATTTTGTCTGTCGGCTTGTTTGATATAAGCTGGGAGCTTTACGAACTTAGAGTTCGGCATATATTGCAGATTCATATATAGTTTATACATAGTATTAATTCACTATAGTTTTTAAATACTTTTCCGACTCTTCGCTATGTTTCAGCAGATGATAGAGGAGCGTCCCAGCTATGATACAACCCAGTTTATAGCGGATGTCGGCGGCTCTTTGGGCTTTCTGCTCGGCCTCTCAGTTCTAGGCATCATTGGCATATTGGAGCATGTAAGTATGAGTAAGAATATTTAAATATTCCAATCCAAACCTTATTTTCGTTCCAGTTAACTTTGTTCTTCTGTGGCGATTGCATACGGCGACTACAACTGAAAAATGAGGAGAAAAATATCTCCAAGAGCCCAGAGGATGGGGAGTCCCAAACGAGTGTCGAGACACTGGATATCAATGATGTGTACACTGTAGAAAAAGCGCAACTGGGCAAATACTGAGCCGTTGGTCAAGTTTTGTCTAAATAAATCTCTTATATTTATGCACAAAAACTACAAACTAGGGGGCTACATTTAAATGGGATTATTTTCTGTGGTGTATATACAAAATCCTATCCACATTAGAGCAGCGAGGAGAGGGTTAACAGCAAGGCGCCTAGACTCAGTGTCAGAGCAGCTGCAGCGGATTTGGAGCCCTCATCCGTTGCTGTCTTTAGCTTGATATTCGTCCTCAGCACCTCGCCCAGCTTGCCAACTAGATCTGGTAGGGATTTGGTCGCCTCGCAGGCTGTATGCTCCAGGGCATCGTTTACATTCGCCATGTAAATGCGGAAATTGATGCTGCCTGGATAGAGCTCATCGTAGATGAAGTTCTGCATTTGATTGACCAGCACCCAGAGGCGTCGCTCATCATCGACCTTGACATCACTGGGAAAGACAAAACTATTGTTGTTGCTATAGACACGGTCCTGTACGTTGTAGCCCTTCGAAGTTTGCCAGCAGCCCAGAGAGTTCTGATTGGGCAGCGTGTAGAACAGAACACCGGTCTCTGCATCCAGGAACTGAGCTCCTGCCTGCGCGTCTACGCCACGATTGCCCAGGATCTTGAAGTCCCTGTAAATAGCACCAGAGGTGGCCAACGTTTTGTTCCTTAGCACAGAGGTCTTCACCGAGAACTCCATGGTGGAGCTAAGTGGATGGAAGTACAGAGTGGAGTAGCCATCACTCTGTGGCTTGGACAGAGCTAGTCCATAAAGCCCATCGTCCCATTGAAACTCGATGTCATTGATGCTAAAGTTGCCCGCCAGCGGATCGGGATGGAAGAAATGGTGCTGCACTCGCCACGACTCCTGGTCCCGCCACGAATAAACCACCAGACCAGGACTGCCCAGGTCCGCAGCATACGCATAGGTATTATCACAGTCCGCATCCTCAATAGCCAAATTGGCAAAGAAGGAGTTCTGCTTCGTCTGACTCATGGGCAGGATGTGACGACGCAGCAGATCATCGTTGTGCAGATCGTAGATCAACAGTTGCGCCGGACCATACAGCTTCGTCTGCTCCAGCACGCCCGCGATGCGAGAGTCCAACACCCAAAGGCGCCCACAACGATCCGCCTTGATTCTAAAAGGGGAGACGAGCTCCGGATCCGCATCGCTCAAGCTATTAGACACCCAACTGGGAAAAGGTCGCAGAGCAGGCATTTTACTAGAGGTATCTGAAAGGAAAGGACAAAAAGGGAAGGTGAATTGGAATTTTAGGTATTAATTTTATAATATATTTAAAAAAATAGGGTACATCAGTTATACATTCAATGGGGGAAAAACTGGTTTGCTCATTAGGAGATAAGGAAGTAAAGATATGCGTGGGGAAAGAAATGGTATATTAAACTGCATGTGATATCCAGAGAAATAAAGGGTATAATATTTAGTAAGTATGTAGATTTGAGATTATCCAAGGAAGGAGAGATTGGTGTATTCACCTAATAATACAATATTATGTATGTATGTATATATATTAATTTCAATTATTATAAATGGAAAAGGTATGCAGCCGCTCTCAAATTCATTGGCTCTTCAAATTGGGACTTATAAGTCGTTACAGCCAAGTTGAATGCGCTACAAATCGCTTTGACTAATTTTGCATTAATGCTAATTGCGATCCGTGTGGTTCAATGTCTGAGATGCTGATTCATAGGACAAGTTTGTCAGCTGCGCTGCGTTTATATACAAGTTCTATATATGGAACGTATTTGTTGTACAACTTGAAATACCCTATATGCAAATAACGGTTTATATAAGGTGTATATGCACTTCAGCTTAGGCCAAACAGAAACTTCAATTTAATTAAAGATAGACTAAATGAGGTATTCTGGAAGCCAAAATTGAAGAGCGAAGCTCGATTCGAGAGGTCTCTAAGAGTTCGTTTAGTTTTTGTCAAATGCAAAGAGAAGAAACCTCGAGATTGATTGAGGAATGGGTTATAAAAAACTAATTCATATGATATTTTGTTATTAGGAATTATGCGTTTATTTTTCATTAAATAAGAAATGTAGTTTTCAAGCAGTGAAGAGAACATAGAATTTCCTGCTCAACAAATTTTATTTACAATAAACAAACTTTGCTTCCGGTCCACCATTTCCATAGAAACTCTAGAATAGACCTTACAGATTTTAAGGCGAAGAGGACTATAAATTTTCAAATATAGAGAAATATTTCGAAAAAAAAGTATGTATGAAGATAGGTGGGTATATATAGAGAGATACACGAATATATCTAATTAGGTAGAGATAGATGTATGTACATTTGCATATGCATATATAGCTGAGTAGAGATTAGCTAAGGGTCTCCATATTAGAGCTCCATTTTTCACAGTTGTCTAATATATAATTAGCCATAGACTGATTGAGAGTATATATGCTTTATCTGCTCTAAGATGCCGAATGCTACGCATTATAAATTTCTGAAATTCAAATAAATATTTTCTCACATTCGGAATCGAGGTATGTGAATTTACCTTTTCAATTCGGTCTGATCTATAGAATATAAATATATATATATACGTAGATATAGATATATGTAGATAGATACACATACTCTTCAAATTTACGTTGCTCCAAGAGAATAAATGTTTCCTATCAATGTATGTGTCATGCACACATACATATATTCATATATATGTATATTTCATATATACAGCTTCGATCTATGTAGTCTTCTATATTCGTTCGTATTTGTTTATTTACTCAATTTATTATACTGTTGTTGTTTATTTGTTTTTGTTTCTGCTTTTCTTATTTGTGTTTTTTCTGTTGCTATCGCTTCTGCTGTTGTTTGTTGTGGTTTTACAGCATTTTAATTACGTAAGCGGCGCGAATATCCCAGAACTCTCAACAGGCAATTAATGGCAACAAATGCGAGTGCAAGAAAACTAAATTGTCTAGAACGAGTATTGCATAGATACGATATCGTGACACGAATACCATTTTGATATGGAAATGATACAATAAACTGAACTAGGCCAAGTTCATGGCTAAAAACTCTCCAGCGTGTGTTCATTAATGAAATTTTCATATAAAACGAAGTCAGAGCAGACCATCTATAAGGGAGGTAAGCAATAATTGAGCAGTAAAACTAGAATTTGCTATCACTGAGACTTTAAAAGATATGGAATTGTTACGATTTGCTATAAGCTCAATGAGATTAGATATATTAGTTTGTTTCTCTAGCTCGAATTTACTCCAAATTTAGTGTGTCTAGCTATAGAGAGGGTTTGAGACTTGCATAGGGAGAATTGAAGTACGAATATATACATAATAATATTCAAGTCACGATTATCATCATCTGTATAACTAATAATATCTGTTGTTATAGTTTTCTTTGCTTTGAAGTATAAAACATACAATCACGATTTATTAAGTTTACTTCTAAATCGTATCTCTAGCTCTCATAGCAAGCAACAACAACATTTACATTATTTAGATAGTTCTACTATCACCAATTCCCATCTCTAACAAATCAACTATGCAAATTTAGCCAACTAGTCGACCAGCTCCCACGCGTAAAGACAATGCTTTAGCTGGGATTTCAGTGCAGAACAATTCTCTCGCATAAGGAAAACCGCAATTTGATGTAAGTAGAAGTCGGTGTAGTGGAGGGGAGCAAAGTCTTTCCTCTGGCAGTACTTACCATTAAGATCAAGGTAGGCCAATGAGGCGGGCACACCGTTTCGCCATCTGGGCAGTGTTACGAACAATCGCTGGCGATAGACCTCCAATCCGAAGGGAATTACATTAGCCGGCTTGAAGGCCCCGCGCTCTATAGCCGACCACCTCTGATCGGGGGAATCGTATTGGAAATCCATTTCCCGCCACTCGTAGGCCACACGTAGATTATCTTTAGCCACAGCCACGCCCGCGCACAAGAGTACGCCCACTGCAATGCAGGCGGCGTTCATATTGAAAGCTGCAAAAAATATTTTTAAAATGTTTTAATTCAAATCAATGTAAAGACTTCCGACCTTCGCATAGCCATAAATAAAGCCAACGAGCTCGAGATGAATTGCTCTTGACAAAGACTCGAGTTAAGTGGAGCCCCACAGAGAACGAAAAAGACTGAAATTGAGCTCGATGTCGAGTTCAAATTCGAACTCGAATTCGTTGCTAAAGCCGCGCCTCCACTATGCGAAAAGTTAATTTGAAAGTTGTCTTTCTGGCTTGGCCAACAATTTTCAGAGACTCTTAGACACAAGTTAAGTTTGGCATATTGGAACATGTTTGATAGGTTGTCTCTGGACATACCCTGTATGGTAGATATAAGCGTGAAAGTGAAGTAATTGAAAGACATAATTAAGTTTTAATTAATAAATTAGAAAAAAATGAATATGAAAAAAAATTAAAATAAAAATTTTTTATTACTTTTATTATTTTATTTTATTCATTTCATTTATTCACTTATTATTTTAAAGGTATTAACAAAGAAGAATTTTTGTTCTCAAATTTGACAAATCCTTTTGATTTAATTATTCGCTATTTTTGCAACATTGTTTGTTCCAACATATGAATATTTAAGTTGAGATCGTTAACTTTTTGAACACCCCTCGCATTTGTATATTTATGCATGTAACTAGTTTATGAATCATTATAAAATCAACTGCTCTTAGCAAGCGAGTAAAATCAAGCTGTGTTAATGGCCCGGTCTTTGACTGGAACCCAATACATATTACAGACTGTCGAAGATTTTAATTGAAATCTTATTTCTATGCATCTGTACGTATATAGCAATCAAACACTTAAATCAACATATACATATATAAACACATCAAATCAATATAGCATTCAAGTTTGGTATTTATTATTAGTTTTATATTTGCCACGTATACAATAAAGATAGATCTTTATATTTTTAGTATATTCAAAATCATCTGATTTAACAGATTTTTTAAAATGTCATGTCTTAGATTATCAAATTGTCTGATGGAAACAAGCTACTTTCTAAATAATTAGTTCTGCTGTTGAGTTTCAAGTTCAAATCTCTTAAAAATCTGATCCAACCAGATCTGAACTCAACAATTATTTACGGAACACTTGTTGCCTCACATGAGTTAAGTAAAAACTTAACAAACTCGTGTATGTGAAATAATTTCGGCAGATCAGAGCTCAAGTGCCAAAGTACTTATATTTTGAACCTACTCCATGCTTAGTTATAGTTTTTTTAGTCCTCTCTGCAGCATTTAGAGTCGAGAAATGACATTTTAATTAGAATTTGATGATTTTTAATATCCTCAAGAAAGAAATATTGAGGCGACTCCGCGTTTAGACAGTTTAAAAGGCTTAAGTGATCGTTCTACATAGATCGCACAGGTAAAACTAATGTATTATAGCTCTTCTCATGCGCTCAAATGATATATAGCTTAGATAACTTAAATTCGTGTCATAATTTGGGTCAATCGGACCTCAGGGCCAATATAGACGTAAACAAATACAAAAAAAATCACTCAATAGTTGATGTGATGAGCGCCGCGTCGTCTGTCTGCCCAGCGCTCGAGTCATGGTCGCTATATAGCTATATGACTGTACTTGTGGGCAATGAAATATTTATTTCTGTTTCTCATGAGCTGCGCGTTCGGTTGAGCTGTCTTGTTTTTTTTTTCTATAATTTATTACAAGAATTTTTTCATTGTTTTTTTTTTTTCGCGAGATTTGTTTTATGGCCTGTTCGCTTTTTGGGACTTTTGGCTGCGGAACACTTGAGATACTCGTTTAGAGTCTTAGAAAATTTCAAGTTTTTGAGCAAATTTCTGCACTCAAGCGAAGTCTTTTAAAGACTTAAGTAATATTTCTTAGTTTATAGAAATAATTAAGTTTTAGCTGCATTTTTGGCCTGGTTTAGTTGGTAATTAATTATTTAGTTCATTATCTAATTTTAGCTGTTAGTTCATGCACCAGCGACAATTGAAAGTAAAGGCTTAAGCAGGGGGGCGTGTCATAGTTATGCAAGCCCCTTTTGTCGCACATTCGCCAGCCAAGTTTGTGTCTTAAGTCTTTTGTTTAGTTGGCTATTTTTCGATTTTTTGTTGCCGATGCCGAAAGTAAGCCAAGTGTTATTTAACTAGTTTAGCTGTTTGGACTAATGCAGTAATGTATGCACGCACACACACAAACACACACCTTTAAGTTTATCGCACAACCAGAAACACAACCGACAGCCACGAAGCTCGCAACGAAACTGAAAGCCAAACGAGACAACATCCACGATTGAAGCCGACTAATGCTGGAGCTGTGATTGAAGCTGCCTGTGCGCTTCGTCTTTGGAATTCCAGTGAACTTGAATTAGTCAGACAGACCATCAAAAATATTACGTACAGCCCAATGCAGACCTAGGCCTTCCCTGAATACCTCAAGCAAATTAACAGCTCAAACAATTTCAATTAGCCAGCCCACATAGCTCAGCTGATTACGTTTTTTTTGGCAGACAAGCCCCTGAAATAAATCCCACACATAGGCCTATATAAATGACTGATATATCTCAATCATATAATTATCAACGCAACTTTCCATTCCATCGGGTATTGCCCATGAGTCAAGTCGGTTTTTGGGGATTTCTGGTTCTTTGACTTGTCATACTGAGAGTTATTGCGGTTAGCTGAGCAATTCTAGAAACAATTCTTCTCGGTTGCATTGAAAATTATAATGATGATGATTATAACGTCAAAAGCTCTTAGTGTCTGTCTAAATGCACTTTGCATTTCAGCATTTGCATCATTATTATACATACCAATTTCTAATTGCCATAATTTTCATTATCATCAGCGCACTTACCATTAATATTAAAGATTTCATTAAAAATCGTGTCAAATTATCGATTTTTATCATAAATTAGAGGTTTATCGATAAACTGAAACGTACATCGATTTGGATTGCTGCCAACTTCTTTACTATGTTTTATTTCCTTTTGTGACATATTATACCCAAATTCATATACCTAGTTATTTATGCTTTAATGTAGTAAAGAAATCAGGATCCACAAAAATATAAGTCCAAACAAATAAGTCCATATAAAAACACACATTTAAATATTAATATATATTATAGTATATTTTATTTATTAAAATTCAATAAATTAATTTAAATTTAAAAAGAAGAGAACAATCAAAACATTAAACTAGAAATATATCAGTATGCAATATATATATATTTTTTTGTTTTTCTTTTTTTCTTTTTGTTTAAAAGTGTTTTAAACTATTGCTTATATAACGTTGTTTGTTTGTTGTTATGCTTAGAGTATGTTGTGTATGTTCATTTTAATTTACTTTTCTTTTTGTTTTTTTTTTTTTTTTTTTTTTTGATAGAAACATTTCTTGTACAAACACTAAAATTGTTTTTTTTTTTTCTTTAACTCATTTACAACATTAAAAACTTTTAACATACGCATTTTTTATAGTTTTGATTTTATGCATTTGCACTAAGTATTAATTTGCATTAGCTAAGTATTTTGTGTAATTAATTGTTTATCGATTGTAATTGGCAAAGAAGAAAGAATAAGAGCCAAAAACAATGCAAACATATTTTTTAGACTTTAGTTAAATGCAATGCAAAAGAAAAATAAAATTAACGGCTCAAAGCTTGTGAAACATATTATTCAAGAATTATTATATAGAAGGTATATATATATATATTTGTATAGGATACCTTGAGATTGGCGAACAAAAATCATCTTTGGCAAAGGTTTTAACTAGACTTTGATTGTTGAACGCCGCACCGATTGACTATTAAAGCAATTATATATATTTTTTATTATTAATCGATTGTTATCGAAATTTGCTATCGACTAAAACTTAATTTGAGAAGGAGAGAGGGCATCCAAAAAAATAGCATTATTCAATAATCACAATTAACACTATAAAAACGAAACACAAAACTGTCTGTTCTGTGCCCTCGCATGAAAGTGGGCGTGGTAGTCATCGTGAACGCCTCCCGTAATGCGTGCTTCTATGATAGAGTGAGTTATATGTTGATGTAGGTGTATTTGTGTGTGGAGTGTGGGTTTATATATAGTTATTCAAAAGTATTAGAGCCTAGAGCAAGACAAGGACCGAAAAGTCCAACAGTTGAGTTTTAGACAACTGTGATGTGCCGATAAAAACTGGGCTGAGGGCAGAGTCAACAAAGAGGGCGGGACAGCACATCACCTGCGTCATGGGGATCTATGTATGTGTGTAAGGATAAAGGGGCATGCTACAAAAAACACACACACTCGAGATATCTTACGACATCTTTAAGTTTTGGACGCAGGGAACTTTTCGCTCAGCAAAATTGATGTGACACGTTTTCGACTGAGCAGCGCAGACAGATGTTAAGCAAAAAACTTAGTAGGGTATATAGAGTAGACGGTGTGTATATCTGCGCCTTTTTTCAGCTACTCGCGTGTCGCCCAGCGCTAAGGACAGACAATTTTGGTGGCTTGACATATAGATTTATATAGTATATATAAAAACACCTATGAGAAAACGAGTTCGATTTTTTTTATATTTTGTTTTGTACTTCAAACAACGCGTGCAGCTTACATTTACAATTATTGTATATTTGATATATGATACAGAGTTATATATGTATATCGCAAGAGTTAACAGTTATAGATCAAAGAGAAAGTAAATGAAGAGAGAACAACGGCTAGCCGAAGTTTTATATAGAATTGCAGATGTTAAAGCAGAGATTGAGTTAATTCGCTTTACACTAATTATATATACATATGTATACCTTATATGTAAACCTTTACACTGGATTGTCCCTATGGCAGCTTAGATTATGCAAGTTAAGTTATTGCTAATTCTCGAATTTTAGGAAAATACTTCATCATAAGAAATTGTTGTTTCAGTTTCATTAATATAACAAGAAAATCTCTGATTACTAGCACGGAACACGATATATCAATAAATTTCCTTCACATACTGCAAGACTATCAGTTCAGCTGTACGAACACAATATGACCGTCACCAATAGCTCAAAATGGGAAAGGAATACTTGGACGCTTAATGAAAAATCAACAAACTACATTTACTAATAAAAAAATGACAATGATGAAAAAGAAAATAAATAACAATTATAAAACGCGCTCAGGAAATATATTTACAATTGAGATATACGATAGTTGTTGTCAAATATTTAACTAGCAGTTAAGTAGTATGTGCGTGTGAGTGTGTGTTTGTGTGTATTTAGAGAGCCACCAAATCGATTTATGTCTGTCTGTCCCGCATTGAGGTACACTCGTCTGAAGCACGCCGTTCTAACATCGCATAAATGCCAACGGCCCCACCTAGAGATAACAGAGATAGAGTGTTGGGCGGTGGGCGTGGCATTGAAAAAGGCAATGCGGCGAATATGCCAGACCCGAGAGTCCAACATCAATTTTGCGCTAAACCCAACCAGAGACTACGCGGCACAAATTACCATCAGAACTCTGGAGGATTTTTCACTTGTCTTACGTTTGATACTACATACATAGTATATATAAGTAGTTACCGTTACACATAACATATATATGTTTGTGTGTATGTGTATAGATATATGTTTTACAAATACATGTTAGTGTACATACGGTCTATCTGTTAGAGGGTAGGTTGAGGGATGTTTGGTAACAAAGTTTGACTAGCCTACACTGGGCGAGTATTCCGATTGAGACCGATTCTGAAAATCATGCCAGAACTCTATTATTAAATACATATAGATATACCCTGCAATTACAAGCTACAGATACAAAAAGAAAAGAGTTTCTGTGACCAACTTAGGAGGTATAAAACGCTTGATTTAGTAATAGTTGTACATGGACATCATTAAGATCCATCGATAAAGCCTCAGCTTGATTATTGTTAAAAACTTGTTTTTAGTTTGCTAGGAAGCTAGAGTTTTTGAAGTCCGTGAACCAATGGAAGAGCGCTACGTTAACAAAGAAACTAACTATGGATTGCTAGATATATATTGAAACGAACTAGAAATGAATGTACTTACTAACAATGTGCGGAAACGCTTTGGAGAGAATTACTTTATAACTACAGATTTGATAGAGGATTGTTTGCATTGTTTGCATATTAGTACGATACCATAACCAAGAAATATTGTTACATATAAATGATGTAATTGAGAAAGAAAAAATTAATGTAGATACCTGAATTGTGGGATCGCAGTGTTGCCGACCGAAATTGAAGCGGAAATCGAAATCAAAAGTAAATTTTGTACATAACTTACGAGTACACTTGTTTGTCAGCTGTAAGTAACGAGTAACGAGTAACGGGTAACGGGTAACGAATAACGAGTGGATGAAAGACGACTGATATCATTTTTGCTTTTGTTTTTGTGTTGAAAGGCGGGGGAACATGGGGGATAAGAAGTACATAAATGCAGTTAAAAGAGGCTACACATATTCATATTGTATAACAGTATGTATAACAGTTTGTGGAGCATCGCACATTTGGACAATTAACTAAAAAGCTACGCACAGATAATACAAATTCGCACACTATTACAATATATGCACATATGTATATGTATGTATTTTAAACAAATCGCCCGATTCTTACCCGGGGGAGAGGGGAGCGTACTGTTTCGTTTCTATCTGAGAATAAACATTACAAAAACGAAAGAGAGAGAGAGAGAGAGATAGTTTGTGTGAGTGAGTGAGTTTAACAATGGGGCGTATTTTAACTTGTTTCTTTTTTTTTGCCCCTAAACACTAAAATGTAATGAAAAAAAAAATAAAATAAAATAAAAAATATTTATATAAATATATGAAACAAGAATGTAAACAAAAAATATTATTTTAAATATTATATAAGTATGTTAAGTATTATGAAATTAGCTCGTATTGTACAAATACAGTAACAATTATAAAGCTAGGGAGAGTGTTATATCATATATATAATTATATGTAGAGAGATAGTGAGAGAGAGTAAACTAGACGCTACAGAAACAATATAGCAAAGAGAACCGCGTGCCAGCACAAAGAGCAAGGGATAGAGATAGATTGAGAACGCCAGATGAGAAGCGAGCTGCGATTCATTTAGCACACATATACAGAGTATTGTTAGTAAAATTAATATGGTGTTGTATACATATATATGTGTGTGTGTTTTGCAAGTACACTCGAATTTAGTGGGAGAAATGTTAAAAGAATTTGGAAATCGAACGAAAAGCAAAGTTAGATGCATCAACTAGAAAATACTCTGAATATATATGTATAGACAGTATAAAGCTACGCATATTGCTGTTAGTATGTGTGCGGCCAGTGAATGCATGTGTGTGTGTGTGTGTATGTGTGTATGAATCGAGTGTCTCAAAACTGTTATACATTTAAGAAAAAGAGCTTTGTGGAATTGCGTAGCTTGAGTATGAAAACTTGCTTGCAGTTGTTGTGATTGCTTTTTGCACTAGTTGTTGTTGATGTTGTTGTCGCAGTCTTTTGTCGTTGCCGTTGCCGTTGCTGTTGTTGTTAGTAGGTTGATTGGCCACATCCCATTTCAATCGTGAAATAACAAGGGTAACGGCAAACCCACCAACTGGGATGACTGCGCCTGCGCTGGATGCAGCGCTGGCAATGCCGCTGCTCGTGGAAACGCTCGCACACTGTGCGGATGCGTCTGTGTTGGCGCCTGCAGGAGTCCTGGCGCAGCGGGCAGGCATCATCTGAAGCGTGGCTGCATCATCTGCAGCATATTCGGATGGCCAGGCAGCATTACGCTCATGCCCGGCATCGGCATAGCACCCGCGGGCAAGCCAGGCAAACCGATTGCCTGCATTGGCAGCAGACCTGCAAAAGTTGATGCAACATTAGCTACGGATCTATCTCAGATAACGATAAAGTTGTACTCACCTGGCATGCCAGGCATCGGACCAGGACGCAGCATATTGCCACCTATCAATTGGCCATGGGGTCCAATGGCCACTGTGCCAGGGCGCAGCATGGGCTGCATCAGCTGCAGGCCGCCAGGCAGAGGCATCTATGCGAATCGAGTCGACCAGATGGAAAAGATATATAGAAGAGCATGGAAGAGAGGTAGAATTGAAATAGTTTTAATTGCATTCCAATGGGTGCGGATTTCGCTTGTCTCTGTGTCTGTGTGTGTGTGTGTATGTATTGGTTTGTGTGTATATATATATCGAAGCCATTGTACACAAAATTAGCTAAATTGTTATTAATTATGTTTTCATTGTTTGGTTTTCTTGTTGGTAGTAAGAATATATTAAGTTGTTTTTTTTTTTTTTTAACTTAATATTTAAATGAATAAAATAGTTGTATGTACTGTTGTGTGTGTATGTGTTTGTTTGTTGTTGTCGAAACTTTTACATCGTATTACAATGTTACAATGAAATATATATAAATATTTATTTCTTTATATATATAGAGAGAGAGAGAGAGAAAGACAAATAAAGAGAGACCAAGTTTCCTCTTTTCAATCTTTTTTTTTTTTAATAAAAAAAAAATGATTAAAAATTAAGATAATTGTTTATGATAGAAAATTAAATTGTTTAAAAAAGAAACGTACTTACAATTCGTAAACTGAACTGACGACGGATGAGTAGGTGGTATATGTAGGGGGGCAGGCCGATCTTAAAGATCTCAACCTTTAAGAACACTTTTATAACAATTCTTAAAAAACTATGGGCGCGACGATTTATGTTAATATATAGGTAAAAAGCAACTTAAACGAAGTAAAATAATATTCTTACATATGTCTTATTTTGAATTACAAAAAAAATAGTAAATTTTTACTAACCAGGCAGGCAACGCAAGTCGAGTTCAAGTTCCAATACTTTAGTGATTTTTGTTTTCTTTTATTATAATTAAGTATAGTTTTTTCATGGATTTATACTTAGCTATGATATGGTGGGCGTGGTCGCCTATTGAGGCGTGACATGTGTTTATATAACTACGTGATACTGTTAGTAGTGCGTATATAGAGAGCAGAGCTGAAAAACTAACGATAGGTCATACAAATTTCATAGCAGGAAATGCTGGGAAATGCCCCTAATTAAAACATAAATAAATAAAATAGAGTTTGACAGTTGACAAATCGATAAATTGGAATATATATCACTATATACACATAAAATTTATATTTAAATAAATATAATTTAATATTTATTATAAAATATAAATATTGTAGAAAACAAATATTTATAAAATTGTTAACAAAATAAAAATTTACTGGTACTTTAATTTTGCAAAAAAAAAAATAAAATAAATAAATCAGAACAAAATAAATTTAAAATAATCTAAATTTTTACTTCATGTAATATAATAATATATCTAAGTAGTTTTTATTTTCTTCTTAGAAATATAGGGTACCCTTAACGTTTTTTTTTTTTTTTTTTTGATAAACAGATATACAATTGAAGATTAGAAAATGTCTATTGTTTTTCAGCTCTATTACAGGACAATTAGAAGAGGCGAGCAAACAAGGGCTGGTCTTAAAAAAACGCGCCACCAAACCAAGAGGAACATTACAATTTATTAAAACAATTGAAAATAAAGCGCAGATGGTACCAGCTCGATGTGTTTTGTGTCTATGTATGTGTTTAATATAGTTAGAGTATCCAAGTATTTCGGATAATCCAACTAAATGTGTTAGTTTTTGGATGATACACATAAAGTATGTATGGTATGTATAGCAAGTAGAGAGATAGACAGACATTTTTGGATGCACGAGCAGCAGAGTGAAATCTGTTGCGTTTTTGGGTATGTTAACAGTAAATGAAGGATGAGTATATCGATAGGAATACGATAGTACAATTTACAGATAAAAAGACATTTAGATAAGATAGATTTGCTATGGATATATATGTATGTGTGAGTGTATGTGTGACTGTGTTGTGTGTACGAGATATATCAATAGTCATATACATTTAAATATATAATATATTCAATGCTGTGTATTTATTTTTTTATTTTTTGTGTGGATATGAATTAATCAACCAACCAATCAATCAATCAATCAATTAACCAACCAACGCAGCAACCATTACGACAAGTTCAAAGTAATTTTAATAGAATTAATTATACAAAATGTACTTACATGGCTTGCATAGTTCATAACTCTCAACATTACGTTACGTAACGTAAGGTTGCAGTTACGTTAACGTATACGTACGTGCCATTTTCACTATATATACAGATAAATATTTATGTATATATATAGTTCAAAGCTCTGAAAGTTGCATTACGTTAACATGTGACGTCTACGTTAGCGCTTACGTGACGGTAACATAAGCTTGCAAGGCAGTACGTGATATAATGCTGACGTTAACGCTTACGTAACGGTGAGATAAGCTTGCACTGCAGTAAGAGACAACGTGACGTACACGTTAACGCTCACGTAACGTTATATAAGCTTACAAGGCTATACTAGACAACGTGACGTTCACGTTAGGTTTACATTACGTATTGTTTAAACTCTTTCCGTTATTACACTTATGTATATATGTACATAGCAGATATTAAAATTTTACGTAACGTATGTAACGCTAACGTAACGTCAACGCAACGCTAACGCAACGTAACGTGGCGTAATATGTGCTTGCAAGGCAATATGTACTATGGAACTTTGCATTTGCATTACCATTATCACTATATATAAATATATCATGGTCGATGGGAAACAGTTGGGGTTTTTCTTATTGGATGGATGGGTAGATGTTAATGTATGTAAGTATGCATATGTTGTTGTTGGAGGTGGAAAAGATGGATAGTAATTTGTTTTGAGGAACTTGCTTAGACTACTACGAGTAATACTTGCATAGTAAGTACGGTAATGTACGAGTACGATTACGAGTATTGTATACATATCATATTATAATGGAAATTTTGGCATTTACTTATCTTTCGTAATTCGCATTTGGGCTAATTTTTTTTTTTTTTTTTTTTTTTTTTTTTTTTTTTTTTTTTATATGAAAAGTGAAGTGTACAAAAATACATACTGTAGTATAGAACTGTTTGTCGGCCCTGCAATTGGCATTATGTTTATCAACACTCAACTGTACTGCACTGCAATAATTGTAATGTTAACTTTTAATTTTGTTACTGCAACATTAGAATCTTTTGATATAAAATTTATATATAGATGGTCACTGTGCTAGAGTTGAACTTGGACTAAGTTTATGAAGTGTGTGGGTGTGGGTAGAAGAAAGAAAACTAACTAACTGTTATTTATATATATATATAAAAATATATCGTTTGGGTTGATGTTAGGAACGGTTTTTACAGCCCTCAAATAGCCTACAAATTTATTGTATACGCTGGGAAACTAATCTATAATTATAATAATTTGTATAATTAGTTTTAACTTTTTCAACGATTTAAAAAATAGAATTTAGCTAAGCTGAAGATTATGATATGATATTATATATAAAATATAATAATCTGACATGACTTATCTATATGATAATAATATACAAATTTGATTCACGGCAAATTTATGCACTAAATTTGTTAAGATTATTTTTATTTCTCTAACCAACTATAGATCAGTTTCCGCTTGTAAACAATCCTCAGATTATAATGACTTCTAACCAGAACCTGCGCTTCAAGTTTAATGAATTGCAAATGAGCTTTGATGAAGATGAGCTCTACACTGGGATTTATTTGATATATATATTTGTAAAGGAATATAGCTATGCTAGCCTGACTGAAGAATGTATATATATTCCCATACATTCTGAATGTTTGGGTTTAGTAGCTAAGGAAAACGAGTTAACCAAATATATATATAGTAGAGTAGTTGTTCAGGTACAGCATATATATATATTCATGGATTTTAGTCAGATTGAAACAGATGTCGTTGTTGGCAGCGAACGCTGTGTGCAGCACTTGCATCAAGTTTAACACTTACCATGCCCAGGCCAGCGGCAGCGGCCGCAGCCGCCGCTGCAGCTGCACCATGGTTGGCCGGTTGCCGTACCGCCTGCAGACGTTGCAGCATTACAGCACGATTTAGTTCCTCCAATTGTTTCACCTGCTGCTGCTGCTGTTGTTGCTGCTGCTGTTGCTGCTGCTGCTGTGCCTGATGCTGCTGCTGTGCCTGATGCTGCTGTTGGGCCTGTTGTTGTTGCTGCTGCTGCTGTGCTTGTTGGTGTTGTTGTGCGGCAACGGCATGCGCCACTTGTGCCGCCTGCACCTGAGCCTGCATATGCTGCTGCGCAGCTTGCACCTGTGCAGCTTGTACCTGCGCCACCTGGGCAGCCTGTGCATGCGCCTGCGCCACGGCCACCAGCGCAGCGGTCTGTAAATAAATTTGATAAGGAACGTTTTTCTTTGTTCTTTTTTAAAAACCAAGCGAAAAAATAACAAACAACAAGAAATTCGCACAGTTCGGTTGTAAATATCTTTGCAAATTCGAAATGCGCGCTCGCCGCTGCTTTTCTTTTCTTTGAGTATTTATTTCGATTCTCTCTTCTTTTTTTTTCGCTATTTAACTTTGTGTGAATAATGTAAAATTGAAAGCCGCCGTTCAGTTTTTGTTGCCATTAATTTGTATGTTTAATTAAAAAATTGTACAGACATATATCATACTATATGCTAAATTGTTAATCTGAATTGGTTTTCGTACTTTAATAATTTTTCTTTTTCTTTGTAATATATTTTCTTTTTGTTTCAACTCTTTCCGTGTTCCATTTGTCGGCCGTTTTCTGTGGTCGTGCACGCATTCTTCGAAATTGCAAAAATAATTATTGAACCAAAAGTTATTACAAAAAAAATTGACAAAAACAATTGATATTTTAAGTAAAATCAAACTATATTGCCCAACGCATAATTGCATGGATATCAAAATGGAATTGTTTAAAAATGCGCAACGCGTTTCACACGACACAGTCTCAGTAAAACTTAGCAGATCTTTATCTGAACTATATATAATATATATATATATAGAATTATGTTGCAACTGTTTCTGTATGTAGTGGCGTACGTGTGTGCATGTCTGTGTGTTTGTCTTTTGTACAAGTCCATGTCAGTGTCTGTGCGTCTGCGTCTTCGTCTTCGTCTACTCTCATTTATATTGACTATGGTTTCTATAACTATGATAAGAACTCACTTCCTGTGCCTTGGAGATGGCCGTGCTCACAGCGATTGCGTTCGCAGCGGCCGCGCTGCCCGTTGGCGAGATGCCGGACAGCGAGGGCGGCGGCGGTGTCGAAGGCATTGATGAGGCAGCGCTGCCAACGCTTCCATTTCCACCTCCGCTGCCACCGCCACCGTTATTGAGGCTGGGACTGTGATTTTTCGGCGCTGCAGCGACTGCTGCTAAGGCGGCAGCCACACGCGCCTGATACTTGGGTTGACGGGCGCGCAACTCTTCTAGACTGGCATCCTCCGCTGGATGCATTATCTTTGTGCTAACTGCGGCCACAACGTGACTGCCGCCGCCAACTGCATTAGCCGCACTTGGTGGTCGTCCCTGATTGTGTGGATCCGGTGCAAGTGAGGGTGCAGCGTTTGACGCCGCACCGCCACCTAAACCAGCATTATTGGTAGTAGGTGGAGCACTTATGGTGGCATTACTGCAAGCAATCAATTCATTTAGATATATACAAATAATTCCTGTTAGTATTCAGCTAACCTATAGGCTGGAAACGTGGGTTTCTGCTGAGCCATGGCAGCGGCGTGTTGCTGCTGCTGTTGCTGTTGATGGTGTTGCTGCTGATGATGATGATGAACGGCTGCTGCAGCAGCTGCCGCCGAGGTTGTTGCCATCGCCGCCGGAAATATGGGACGCGGCGGCATCATGTGTGGCATCATTGGCATCGGATATGGAGGCAATGGTGGCATGTGCTGCATCATGCCCATCCCATACTGGCCCAACATATGCGGTGGCATCATATTGGGTGGCATCATCATAGGCGGCGGCACAGACATGGGATCTACAAGTAAAGCCAATATAAGTTGAATAGAAATTACATGACCTAAGCCAACAAAGAGAACATATTGAATTCATGGGTTCAGTATGTGGCTTCTCACTCTGATTTCCAAGTGTAGTTTTAAATTTACTATGCTTACATTCAACTTTTTTCTTGGCAGCCGGCTCATCATCATCGGAATCGGATTTACCGCCGTTTTTCTGGCGCTCATGATCCCGTAAATCCTCTGCAGGAATACCATCCATGCCAAAGATTTCAATTTCGATGTTGGAGCGGTTTGGCAACGAGTTGGGCACCTTATCCACAGTTTCCTTGTGCACCTGCATGCAATGTATGGATAGGCCCGGCCCCGTGTACAGCTTCTTGTGGCATATATGACACTTGAAGTGTTTCGCCTTTTGATGCTGCACCAGAATTTTCTCATCATCAAATTCGCGATTACAATACCTAAATTAGTTAGTTATGGGTTAAGGAAAGAACAAAATTTTCAAGAATTTGTGTTTGCTTTGCCGACTTCCGCAAATCAACAACAGCATTTGCCATTATATAAATGCATAAGTGTGGGTATGTATGAGTATGTATGAATATGTTTGTATGCATGTGTGTGTACGTGAGTAGATACAAATTTTGTAGCGAGGCTCCCAACGCACACGTAAAGGCAAGTCGAGAACTGCAAAAATTTTCATTTGGTTTGTTTGAAAAGGATACCAGCACCAGGGTTTGGAGGCCTTCTTCTTCTTACGACCCATTATTTCAACTTTGTTTTAAACACTTGAATATAACAAGACGTTTGGTTTAATACTAATAAATTACGAAGTTTTTGTACAAAAGAAACACTATTTCAAGCGTCGTGTCGGTATCGGTATCGTAAGAAAACAAAATGGAGTGTGTCGTAGTGATGGAAAACTAACAATGTCATCATTGTTATTATTCTTCATCGATAGTTGACAATCACAACCGATTTTTAGTATTAAATATTGAATATTGTTACAGCGTTAGTGAATAATTTATATATTCTGAAATCATTTTTTCAGCTTTTGAAAATACAGCACAAATACAAAAATTATTTAAGCGACAGTTTAGTCAAATATCCTTCAAATCTTTTATTTTCTGTTTAAAATAAAAATATTTGTTCTTATAGTTTGTAAGATCATTGCAATAAATATTAACTTTTCTGAGCTCATAAATAATATAATATTAATTACGTATATGGTTTTTCTTTAAATGTTTAAAATAAATACTAGCTGAAATCTATCGGTTCAAAACATATAAAACTATCAATAAGATTTTTTCACATTACCGCCTATCGATATCGATAAGGAAAAAACATTGTGTAGAATTTCACGAAACCGGCAAACGACTTAGGTGAAATGGCTGATAAAAAGGTAAACTCGAAATAAACATGCCGAGCGTGTATTAAAACTAAGTGCTTTTTAGACAGGAGGCAACAATGATGGAAAGGAAAAGCGCCGAAAGGAGTCTATTTTGGATCTGTCCAAATACCTGGAGAAACAAATACGTGTGAAATTCGCGGGAGGCCGCGAGGCGTCTGGGATACTGAAAGGTTACGATGCGCTTTTAAATCTGGTGCTAGACAATACCGTGGAGTACCTAAGAGATTCAGACGAACCCTACAAACTCACAGAGGATTCCACACGAAGTCTCGGCCTGGTCGTATGCCGAGGCACGGCGCTGGTGCTCATCTGTCCACAAGATGGAGTCGAGAGCATAGCCAATCCCTTTATTACGCAGTAAATGGATAGAAAGAATATGCTGTCTGGTCTAGGCTAAGTACACATTTTGGTTGATAAAAACGTTTTGCATACATATTTAAAATAATGAAATTTGTGTAACATACTATAAATACAAACATAAAAACTAAACAATTGGCTATTCTAGACCAAATTCGTTGCGAATCCAAGGATACTGTGCCGGGCATTCCATGCACGTATAAAAGTAGCGATCCTCCTGTAGCACCCGACTCCGAACTTTGCACACATTAGGCGTTTGGCAGACCAACTCGTGCGGCTCCAGCTGTTTTGGCTGACAGCGCCAGGGCTCGAACTGATGCAGATGATTGTTGGGCGTGGGCTGTCGCATCCATTGAATAGCCTGCTGATTGGTAACGAAGTACACATCCGGCAGCTTGTGCATGTCATCCAAAAATTTCTAGAAGATATGTCGTTAGCAAAAACATTGAAGCTAATGAGTTGTCTAGGAATCTCACCAGAAACGCATTTAAATAGTCAATCTTCTTGAACCAGGTGGAGTGGAAGTACAGCCCATATGGCGCTCGATTGCTCAAATAGTGCCGCTTAAAATTATAAGTCAACATGCGGTACACATCATCCCCAGTCAGGTGTGGAGGGCAGCTGTCGACCATGCCGCAAGTGTACTCGCCTGCACCTGCCTCCAGCTGATTCATGACCAGCTCCCAGATGCCGGGATAACTTCGAGTCGGACAATTCTGATTGGCTCCCAGGCAGCTGTGCGGCATCTTAAAGTCCAGCGTGTATGGCCATAGGGGTGGATTCGAGTGCGGTGCCACCATGGAAGCATCGTAGACAAAACCAAACTCCTTCATCATAAGAAACTGACGATTCCAGCCAACGCGCAGGAAGGGCACACGCATGCCTCGCAATTCCTCCATGCGAACGCCCGCAAATTTGTTGATGATGTTCGCCTGACCGACCATCTCATCGAACCAGTCCTCAATGGTGGCATTCTTTGACCACCACAGCTCCGGCCCGCGATGCCTGCAAATAATCTATTTGAATGGAATCTTTAGGAGAAGGCTATCCAACCTACGTCACCGAATGCACCGCAATCTCATGTCCATCATTCCATAGCTTCTGCACATACTGATAATTCGTATACGGATGGGAGACAAAGAAGGTGCCACGAATGGGGCAACCATTTGGATTACGACGATTGGGCGTGAAGAGCACCTTGGAGAACAGCTCCCAGTTATCGTGGTTGACGGCATCGTCGAAAGTCAGCAATATCATCTGTGGCACAGTCTGTGCCTGAAGGTGTCCAGGTATCTGTGTGCCATCCTTCGAGCAGAAGCAATGGGGCAGCTGACATTTGCGCTGATCACAGGCGCCCGCTGCATTGGGATCATGATCAACATCGCACCAGCCCTCGTCGGAGCCGTCCGGGCAATCGACAGAACCATCACAGAAGTAATCCTGCGGCAGACAAGTGCCATCGGCACAGCCCAACTGCGACTCGTCCGCGCAGTCAGCCATCTCAAGCAACGGCTTGGGCACTGGCGTCTCCGCGCTTATATCACAATTGTCCACATTCGCTTTAAAATCACAGATTTGTCGCACCACATCGAAGAGCAGTCCCTCGGAGCACTTGAATTCGAAAACCTCGCCATCGAGGCACAGGAAATACTTTGCACACTCGCTGTTCGTCCATATCTTGTGCACCGGTCGATTGGGGTTGCGATAGAAGCGTGCATCTTGCATGCAGGCAGCCGTTGAGCTGGATCGTCTATGTCGAGTGTGATTGCCGCCTGTGTCGGTCCGCGCCTCGATGTTGGCATTGTCTGCAAAGCAGTTCGTGTGTGAGATAGGCGCATTATCTAATTACCACCAAAAAACTAATTAATACGCTGACCCAAAAACCAAGCGCACGTCCACACATTTCGTCGTGGCTGTGGGGTGGGGCGGGGCGGTACGGAACGGAGCTTTTGGCCACATTGCTGCAATAATTTTGGCTAGCTTGCAGATCACGCAGCTGCACGAGGGTTTACAATAGAGTCTTTAATTGCCAGCTCCTTTGTTTAAGGGGAAATATGTGCTTATATGTGATATAAACTGCATTCGTGACGATTGTAGGCTTCCCAACTGAAGATTCATATCATGTTATGGATCCCTAAAGATCATATGCAGAAAAAGTTATATTCTTTATACTCTATGTCTGACAGTTGAGTAGTCTGACTCTGAAATCGAAAGATTTCCTAGCGCTTAAAACAAAATGTGAAATTATACGGAAATTTGACTTACTTATGATATAGATCTAACAGAAATAAATTACGGTACATCTTGCAAGCGGAACTGAAAGTACTTATAAATATTCATTCAAGCGAGCTTTCACTGTAATTGTACATATGCAATATGTTTGTATTGGTTTGCTACATATGTATAAGTGCATAAAGTTTCTAAAAAGAAAATCTCTTGATTTAATTTCCTTTTCAGATTAATGTCGAATGCGGACTAGACTAGACTATGGACTATGATGATCATCTTTGCATTGATTTCCTATTCTATTTAGTTTATTTTATCATAGATTCTTCTAGAAAAAATAAATCCTATGCAACATTTTGAATTTCTGAAGCTGCCCTATGACAATTGGGGGTCTCTTAGTGCAAATTAAGCTACGCCCCTGTGCGGCGCAACAATTTTGGTGGCAGCAAGTCAATTGCGTTTGCAACACACACACACACACTCATGCAGTTGGCCTGGCGGCATAGCTGGAGCAGATCGTAACTCAAACGATTGGGCAAGCGACGCATGTGTGTAAAATGCAAGATGCGATCTCTAGATTCGATATAGATGTGTGTGTGTGTGTGTATGTGTGTAATATGCAATATGCGATCTCTTGATACGATATGTATGCATGTACAGAGATGTGTGGATTGCGTGTATAGGAATCTCGATGTGCGTGTGTGTGTGTGTGTGGGTAGAGTGGCAGCTGCAGCATTTAGAAAGTAACAGTTAAAGCACTCTTTTTATGTATGTTCATATGTACATACATATGTATGTTGCCAAAGCTTTGCCTAAAATAGTGGGGTCAGGAAAATTTTCAGCAACTGTCATTTGGGGTTCAATGGACAGGCCTCCAGTTGATATTATATAACAAAAAACAGATCAACAACTTTCACACCCAATGCGCGGCTTGCGCATGCCAAAGACAAAAAGGAGGCAACAACAACAACAACTACAGCAGCAGCAACAAGACGCACCCAATCAAAAGTCAGGTAGTAAATTTGTGGATGTTAGGCAAAAGAGAGCGAGAGTGAGAGAGGGAGGGAGAAATTACCGATGCTTGTAACAGTCGCCGCAGTCGCCGTCGACGACGACATAATCACGAAGATGGCCGCGATGGCAACAACAACAACGAATGCCCACGATTTTTGCATAGTTGTAAATGTGCAGCGCTTATAACGGTTTTGTGTGTGCGCGTCGACCTTGACTGTGAAACTCGTTTGCTTCATTAAATTTTCCCTCCGGCGGAGCAGCATTTTCTGCCAACTTTTAGTCTACTTTATTTTTTCTTTCTCTTTTGTTTTCCTTATTACGAATATGCGACCGGCGCTTTAAATAATTTCCGAGCTGTAGCGCAGCGTTCCGCAGCAGCTGAATACTAAAACAAACTGAAGACTTGGGCGCTGCAGACCGGGCCATATATATCGAGCCGCGGGAGAAAGCTCTCTTTGGCTGGCACTTGAATGTTTTTTCTTCAAATTGCGGCATGTTATCATTTTCAAAATAAATATTGAGTTTGACAGTTTTGCATGTGAAAGCTTAGCTTAGAACTTTGTTTGGTTTAAAAATATTGATTTGTCGGTCGGATAAAATCAACATTTAATTTTATGTTCATAAATTAATTAATCACATTTTCTAATAGTTTATTGTAAATGCAAACTTAATGTTTTTGCAACGCCCTGTATTTAATTTAAGATTTGAATACTTGAACTGTACTAGGTTTGCTGTGAAAATTAGTTAAATTCATAATTGGTTAAATTCAATTACATTTAATCTGACAAGCAATTAAATTTCCACACTAATTGAAAAAAAGTTGCAAAATAATTTAAATTGTGCATTTGAATTGGCAACGCAAAAACGGTCTTTTGTAGACGGCGCTGCCAACTCGTTAGAAAGTCGCTACGTTTTAGTTGTCATAAGTGCCGTTAGAGGCGTTACGCAGCGCATGCAACTCTGCCGTAGCGTCATATTTTATTTTAGCGCCAGGAGTTGCGGACTGTGTTAAGGATTTTAAATAAGTTCCTCGTTAAATTGTAAAGAATTTTTGTTGCTAATATGCGACCCAGCCTGGGTACGCCACAAGGGCGCGGCGGCTGTCGCACCAGTGTCGGCGCACGGCTAACCCAACAGCAAATGCTGAAGGCCCAACAAGAGGCAGATGATGCTGCTGCTATGGACGCCTTGGATGATGCGCTCATCTTCGACGACGAGGAGGGGGGCACACGCATTGGAGACATATATATACCGCCGCCAGTGCCACCGCATTGTTCCATGGAGAGCGTCGGCCCGCGCCTGATCATCAAACGTATTGTCAACAACAATTTCAAGAGCTATGCAGGCGAGGTGGAGCTGGGTCCATTTCATCATTCCTTTACAGCGATCATAGGGCCGAACGGCAGTGGCAAGAGCAACGTGATTGACTCCATGATGTTTGTGTTCGGCTGTCGGGCGAATCGCATTCGCTGCAAGAAACTATCCACATTAATTCACAACTCCAAGAATTTTCCAAATCTGACCAGCTGCTCGGTGGCTGTGCATTTCGAGCAAGTGGTGGACAAGCCGGACGGCAAGTGCGAAACCGTTCCCGGCTCACAGTTCTTCGTGCGACGCACAGCTATGTCGGATAACTCGTCCTACTACCAAATCGACAATCAGCGGGCTCAGCTGAAGGATGTGGCTAAGCTGCTGAAGAAGCATCACGTAGATCTCGAGCACAATCGTTTTCTCATACTGCAGGGCGAGGTGGAGTCCATAGCCATGATGAAGACCAAAGGACAGACAGAGAACGAAACAGGCATGCTGGAGTATCTGGAGGATATCATAGGGACGCAACGCTATATCCGGCCGTTGCAGCAGATCAATCAGCGCGTGGATCAGCTAACGGATGATCGCACGGAGAAGCATAATCGCTGCAAGCTGTCTGAGCGTGAAATGAAGGATCTGGAACAGCCCTACAATGAGGCCGTCGAGTATTTGCGCAAGGAGAACGAATTGGTGCGCACCAAGAACTGGGTCATCCAGAAGTACGTAAGCATCAAGAAGCAGAAGCTGGAGGAGTACATCAAGGAGCATGACGAGTGCAGCCAGGAAATAAAGAGCCACGACGAAGGCACCGAGGCACTCAAGAAGGAGCGCGCTGAAAAGGAGCTAATTATCCGCAAGGAAATGGAGTAAGTGGGAGGATTAGCTTTGGCATTCCTTTATTAATATACCATTCTCCTTATTCCCATATATTTGAAGAGCCTATGAGGCGTTGGTCAAGCAACGCGAGGACATCAAGAAGAAGCTGGTTGGCGCCGAGCGCAGCTACACGGAAGTCCAGAGCGCCATGGAGAACACGAATAAGCAGCGCAAGAAGGACAAAGCACAAATAGAAAAGAATGAAAAGGAGCTCGAGGAGCTGCACAAGCTGCCAGAGAAGAACGAACGCGAGATCGAGGAATGCCAGCACAAACTCGAACGCCTGGAAAAGGAGAAGCTGGCGCTCAACGAAGAGCTAGAGAAGCAGCTGAAGTTACTCAAAGAGCAATCGGAGCCGCTAACCGAGAAGCGTCTCAAGTTCAGTGACGAGCTGATTGGACTGCAGGAAGCTGTCAATACGGCGCGAGAGGAGGTGCAGGTGCACGAATCGAAGCTAAAAATACTGAAGCAAGTGGAGACCACAGAGGCGCGCAAGTATGAATCCTTAAAGAGCTCCTACGAGTCGGCACAGCAGAGCTTGGAGAGCATGACCAGCAAGCTGGAGGAGCTAAATACAAACATGCCACAGCTGGAGCAGGAGATTCGCACCAAGTCAGCGGAGGTGCAGAAGCTAAGCCATGAGGAGCGCAATTTGGCGGTGCAGTGCAGCAAGCTGCGCGAGGAGGTGAACCCCCACTTGATTTCTATTACTATATATAATTAACAATATTTTATACATTTTTTTTTTCTTAGATCAATGAGCGCTCATCGAATATGCAAGCTCAGCGCTCGAATGATAAAGTCCTGGATTTCCTGATGCGCATGAAGGCGGAGGGCAAAATACCTGGCATACTGGGACGCCTAGGAGATCTGGGCGGCATCGATGCCAAATATGATATAGCCATATCGACAGCCTGTGGCCGACTGGACAACATTGTGACGGATACGTATGATACGGCCACGGCTGCGATTAAAGCACTCAAGCAATATAATGTGGGTCGAGCGAACTTTATACCCCTGAATCGCATGGAGCACTGGCGCAGCAAATCCCATCGCATCAATACGTAAGTGGAGGACGGAGTACAAGTGATTATGTAATCCTCAATTGTCATCCTTATCTAGCCCAGAGAACGTGCCGCGCCTTTACGACCTGGTTCAGGTGGAGGACGAGCGCGTTAGGACCGCCTTTTATATGGCATTGCATAACACGCTGGTGGCCACGGATCTGGAGCAGGGCTCGCGCATTGCCTATGGCCGTGAACGCTTCCGTGTGGTCACGCTGCGTGGCGAAATTATCGAGCAAGCGGGCACCATGTCCGGTGGAGGCAACAGACCTGTGCGCGGCAAAATGGGCACACAGGTGCGCACGAAGACAGCCGAGTCCATGGAAAACTCGCAGGTGTCGCAGAAGGCCCTGGAGGACATGCAAGTGCAGGCCGAGGAGCTGCAGACGCGCATCAACTACTGCCAGGAGCAGCAAGGCCGGCTGGAGCGTGAGATCCAAATGCTGCAGACGAATTTGCAGCGCAGCGAAACGGAACAGAAGCGTCTAGCGATGAGCATCAAATCGCAGGAGCAGCAAATGGCCAGCAGCCTGAAGCAATGCGAAGCGCAGCGTAAGAAGATGCAAGCTCACACAACGGACGAGGCTGCCGTCAAGAAGCTGGAGGCGCACATCCAGAAGGCCAACGAACAGTTGGAGAAGTGCATCGATAATGAGAAAGCGATGTCAAGTCAGATAACTGAAGTACAGGCCGAATACGATTCTCTGCGTGCAAATACCGTGAAGCCTGTGGAGGCGAAACTGAAAAAGACCACCGGACAGATCGAGAAGCTGGCGGGAAATGTGCGCTCCTTGAATGTGGCCCTAACCACGGCGGAACGCAGCATTGAGCGCTTAAAGAATAACAACAACAATTTACGAGAGAATATTAAAACAGCAGAGGACAAGCTGCGGTCCCTTAACGAGGAGCGTCAGCAGTGCCAGGAGCGCAAAGAAGAGCTGGAGGAGGAGGCTAAAAAAGCCGAGGAGGCCATTGGCAATGCCAAATCCCAATCTTCGGATATAAAAAAGCAAATCGATGAGCTCAGCAAGCAGGAGAATCAGCGAAATCTCGCCCGCGTGGAGATTGAGACGAAGCTGCAGGCGGCGGCGGCCAAGATGAACGAGGTCAAGTCGGATATACCGCGTTGGCAGCAGCAGCTGAAGCCGCTCAAGCTCAATGAGATACCAGGAGAAACCAAGCCACTGGCTCCGCTCAAAACACTCACCGAGGAGGAGCTAGAGACCGAGAACCTGGAGGACATGCAGTATAAGCAAACGCTGCTCGAGGAGCAGCTGAAAACGAAACCCAATCTAGGCTTCATCAAGGAGTTCACAGAGAAGCGCAACATCTACCTGGATCGTGTTCGCGTCCTGGAGGACATCACTTCGAAACGTAACGAGATGCGCGACAAGTACGAAGAGGTTCGCAAGCGTCGCTACACCGAGTTCATGGAAGGATTCAACATAATCACGCGCAAGCTCAAGGAAATGTATCGCATGATAACCTTGGGTGGCGACGCGGATCTGGAGTTGGTTGACTCAATGGATCCATTCACAGAGGGCGTGCAGTTCACTGTGCGTCCGCCCAAGAAGAGCTGGAAGTATATTTCGAATTTGTCGGGCGGGGAGAAGACGCTCTCTTCCCTCGCCCTGGTCTTTGCGCTGCATTACTATAAGCCCTCGCCTCTCTATTTCATGGACGAGATCGACGCCGCTCTCGACTTTAAGAATGTGTCCATTGTGGGACATTATATAAAGGTAGGACGAGCTGCCACTCTGTGATTATGCCAGAGTATTAATCTCAACTCTTTATCTCATTCTATTCTCTAGGAACGCACCAAGAATGCCCAGTTCATCATCGTCTCGCTGCGCGTTAACATGTTTGAGTTGTCCAACTATTTGGTTGGCATCTTCAAGGTGGATGACTGCACGGATTCGGTGACGTTGGTTAATCATCCACCTGACCCGCTGCCGCCGCCCACACAATCGCGTCTTACAGCGAGCCAGCAACAAATAGATGTAAGCCTGGAGACTAGCCAGAATGGAGAGTTGGCGAATGAGTCTGAGCAGCCAGAGCAGCAATCGCAGTCAGAGCCGTCGGAGCAGTTGCCGCCCACGCAGCCAGACCTTTCGAGAGCTTGTGGCAGAGATACAACCTTTGCGCCCACGTTGGAGAGCACGGTGATAACGCAACCAGTGCAGGAGGAAGTGAATGAAGTGGCTCCCAATACCAATACCAGTGAGCTGTCCATGAAGAGTCAGAGTACGCTGACCACCATCAATGCCTAGGAGCCATCTACAAATATACAAAATAAACTTAAATATCTTTACACATAACTTTAATAAACAGTACAAATCATGAATTCATTTCTAAAGGCTAGCCATAATCTTGCTGCAGATGGTGGCCAGAGCTTCGGTTGTGGAATTGTTGATAGCTGTGATGTCTTCGCCAGAATCACACGCGCGCGTCACTTGCGGATCGAGCGGCAGCGAACCTAGCAGGGGCACATCCATCTCCTGGCACATGGCCGCTGCGCCGCCCGTCTTGGCGGGAAAGATCTCTGAGCTGTTGCCACAATTGCCGCAACGGAAGCTGCTCATGTTTTCGACGACGCCCACAATGGGGATGCGCTGTTTCTTGCAGAAGTTGATCTCCTTGCGCACGTCGAGCAGCGCCACCTCCTGTGGAGTGGTGACAATGATTGCCTTCAGTGAGTCGGGCGCCGAGTCATCCCTGAGGTACGAGACCACGGACAGATGCTCATCGGATGTGCCTGGGGGCGTGTCCAGTAACAGCAAATCCAAAGTTCCCCAATCCACTTCACTTAAGAACTGTCGGATCATGCCATTCTTCTTTGGCCCGCGCCATATGATGGCGTCATCTACAGAGCCGAGTAGAAAGCCTATGGACATGAGACACACGTTGTCGTCGATGCCCACCGGCGACCAGCCAGAGCCAGATTGATGTACATTCTCGCCAACAGCGCCCAGAAGACGCGGCTGCGACGGTCCACAGATGTCTATATCAAGTACGCCGAAATTACTGTCGGGGTAGCTGCGCGCGAGGTAACGTGTCAGCAGCGTGGTCACCGTGCTTTTGCCCACACCTCCTTTGCCCGAGAGTATCAAAAGCTTGTGCTTGACATCTTTCATGGCAGCAGCAACAAGCGCTTTGCCAGGATCTTCCAGCTTTTTGTTGGGATCACTGCATATTCTTTGGTTGGGGCAGCCAGCACAAGCGCTGACCAAACCGGCCTGTTCGCTCTCAACGCCGGGGCAGTGCTCTGGCGGCGGTGCTTGCATTTTCTTTGAATAAAAAATTTGTTGTGAAATTGGTAAACGGAATGTAAATCAAGAGCAGCTGATAAGACAATTAATGTGTACGTATTTGGTGAATGCCAAGCCAAGCTGTTCGATCGAGACTTATCGATAAAGTGATACAAAATCAATGGGCATGTAATTATAAATATTGAAATACCTGTATTTCTATATTCGCATGGTTATATTAAAACAAATTTTTTTTAGTTTATGAAAAAAATTCCCTATTGCTTAACTTAACGTTACGATAAAGGGTAAAATGGCAGCCAAGCAAGCCTTTACAACATAAGAAAAAACACTAGTTCTTTTGAGCGGAACATGGTAAATATCCAAATAAAATAAGAATCCATTCAACAATCTGTTATACCAAAAATCCAAATCATTTATTATGCTTCACCATGTGCATTTAAAATGCTTATAATAAGATTAATGGCTACTTAATTAAGCGGCAGCATTGTAATCAAGAAGGCTCTTGGAACTAATTTGTTCCAATTGACGAACTCCGGATTTGTCCACAACCGAAACATTAAAGTTCTTCAAGTTAACAATGAGACGCTTCTGGATTTCCAGCACACACTTCTTCAAAACATCGTAGGCCTCCTCCTGTGTGATTTTCGGGTGCCAGTACCGGTCAAAAATGCTGGCGCAGAACATGCTACCGTATCCATGACCGGCATAATTCAAAGATTGGGCAGAGGCCAGGTTGTCAATGAAAGTCAGCTCAGGGCCCTCAGTGGTATCGTAGCTAATATGGGATTATTTTCAGTAACTTATATCATTATAGTAGCATATACCTCTGCTACTCACCCTGCAATAAACATAAACACCTGATAGGGCGTGCGGCTACGCAGACTTTCAGCCAGATTTTTGCGTGTGAAATGTGCCGCCGATTTGGGGCTTAGGTCGTAGCCATTGCGCATCTTGTACAAGACAATGTTCTTCGCAATGAACTCTGTAAATTGTTCAGTGTCGCCAGACGCGCCAACCGTCGAGATCAACAAGTTATCCGCAACCTTGTGGATTTTGTTCTCATCTACAAAAATGATGCAAAAACTATTTGAGAACCGGCGGGGCTAAAATACACTAAAAGCCGCCTGTGGCGACTCTTACCTTCTTTCATCACTATCACGGAATTAGCGTGAGTTGTGTCCGCAGCGAGCATGACAAAATCCGGTCCCTTGATGCCCAGAAGAGTTTCCATTTTGAAATAATAATATTTATTTGACTCTTCGACGTTGTTAGGATGACTTGATTAAATTTTTGCCGTAGCTGCTTCTCATCGAAGTGGCGGCAAACCGATTAATAATTATTGATGGCTGATCAAGCAATCGATGTGTGGAGTCAATATGAGTATCGATATTGGTTGGGTTAACATTGCTCCTTTATGCGCACGTCTCTATTTTGCGCTAACGACAATTATAAATGGCTCCTCCTGCATTAAGAAGCCGTCTCACTGTTTTCAGATCCTACTATCCTGTATTAATATGCCCATTTATTCTTTTTTTTTTTCAAATAAATATATGTACACTACATACACCACAGGTTGATTAAACTTCAAATAATAGTTATATTGGTATTTAGCTTTCGATTGTGGAGGCTGGCCAATATATTATTAAATACTAGAATCATATTCAGCGATGCTTTTGCATTAGCAACACAGGGTTGATATCGATAACACTGGTCACAATTAATCATTCATCTTTACATTTAGTCTCTCCTTCGTATTTTACTTCGTGTCGTCGTCGCTTTTGTGAACAAAAAAATACGAGAAAAAGTTAAAAGCAACGAAATTTTGCTTCAGCATTTTGAGCAAAATTTCAACAAACAAGTGCAGCACATAGCTAGCAACTCACTGCATACATATTTTTCAATCCCCCTTCGTTAACAAAAGCCGTCAAAATTGAGTCGACAAAGATTGACGAGACTTTTCCTCCATCAACTGCTATGGAGGATAAAGCAACAACAAAAGATCTAGATCAATGGATTGAGCAGTTAAATGAATGCAATCAATTGACAGAAACACAAGTTCGCACTCTCTGCGATAAGGTAAGGAGTTGCCAGTTCGCCCCTATACCACGTAGAAAATGATTTAAAAATAATTTTCATCATCGCTTGTGTGCGTCTCGGCAGTCCAATTTTTGCAAATGGTGTGCGTATTTTTCTCTCGCTCATGAATCATGATGCGTCGCCATATTGGTAAATTCCAACAGCCAAGCTCTGCTAAGCACGCCGTGCGTGTGAGCAGGATGCCAATAAGCATTGCGTGCATGTGCGACTGCGACAAATCGATGTGTACCGCCTAGGCGAGAATATTTTCGGTTTTTTTCCCCTCTTTTGTAAATTTCATTATATAGCATTTGTTTAGTTAATGATAATGGCAAACGTGCGTAATTGTTTTTGAGTTGTACAAAAACATAAATTGCAACGACCCTGCGATTGTTCGACTGACCGCATCTGCGTCATACGTCTTAAGTAAATATTACTTAATGTTTTGTGTGCGTTGGTGTGTGCTCTTAGAATATGTATCTATGTATTCAATATACAACCGCTCACACACATATACACATACGCACGCACACACACTTGTTCTATCTATCACGAGCGGTGTGTGACTGTGTGTGTGTATTGTTTTTTTTTTTTCAACAATATTGAATTCAATTAAACAAATTAATGAAAAGCTCACGCGTATAGATATTCACACCAAAACGCGCGTCAGTATCAATTATTTTAAATTAGCTGATTTCACTGTAGCCGCAGGCTCAACATCGATATCGAGGGCCTCTAGAAGTGGGGTTATGTTTGCGTCACCCAAATATTTTGTTGTGCCCAATTGTTCTAAACTCTGCTTCTTTACGCATCGTAATGCCAAAAAGACGTTCATAGACTATTCTAGCGGAAGCGGACGCCAGACACACCACACCCGACAAGGCAATATGGCTAAGAGCAAAATAAGAAAAAAAATGAAATTAAATTGGCTCACATAAATCTGTTGCGTCTCGCACCCGGAAACATATCTTTCACATGTCATTCCTCATTCAACGTAGCAAACAAAATTATGTTTTACACCAAATGCGTATTCTAAACAAGAAATAGGAACAGTGATAGCTCGCTAAAGTGTGCAATTCCGAGTCTAGTAAAAAATGATGACAAACAAGTCAAAGTACAAACAAACCGTTGAATAAATTCATATGTGTATGATTTCAGCCAATGAAGCTTATATGATATCTCATATATATACATATGCATATATGTAAACTTATATATCATACATATTGGACCGCATATTTATTTGTGGGGCGAAGCTTGTTAAAGAAAACAAAGACTATTGATATCATGTTTATTTTCGCTTTGTTTAGGGTATTCATAATCGTTAGGCATTTGTTTATTTTTAGGAAAGTGTAGTTTCGGAATATTAGAATAGTATAGAAAACATTGCTAGTCATGTTGACAAATTGCTATTAGCCAAGCTTTCACTGCGTCATGTTACTCTCGTATATCATAAATACTATACATACAATCAGCCCTATCAGCGCTTATCATACCCAATCTTGATTGCACCTATTTCAATTAAGTAGAATACAAAATAGAATAATGAAAACAAAATATTAATCAATTTCTATCCATTTCTGTTTAGGCTAAGGAAATCCTTTCAAAGGAATCCAATGTGCAGGAGGTCAAATGCCCCGTCACAGTCTGTGGAGATGTGCACGGCCAGTTTCACGATCTTATGGAACTGTTCCGGATAGGCGGAAAATCTCCCGATACAAATTATTTATTTATGGGCGACTATGTGGATCGTGGATATTATTCTGTAGAAACGGTCACACTGCTCGTATCGCTTAAGGTTCGTTATCGTGAGCGCATTACCATATTGCGCGGCAACCACGAATCAAGGCAGATAACACAGGTGTATGGCTTCTACGATGAATGCCTGCGAAAGTATGGAAATGCGAATGTGTGGAAGTATTTTACCGATTTGTTTGACTACTTGCCCCTAACGGCATTGGTCGATGGCCAAATCTTTTGCCTGCATGGCGGCCTCAGTCCGTCGATTGATAGCTTGGATCATATACGGGCCTTGGATCGCCTGCAGGAGGTGCCCCACGAGGGACCAATGTGCGATTTACTCTGGTCCGATCCCGATGATAGGGGCGGCTGGGGCATTTCGCCACGTGGAGCGGGCTATACCTTTGGACAGGTAAGTGCTTGAATTACTTGGACTACATTTCAGTATTTCTAATATATGCAAATATTACCTATATTCATACAGGATATATCGGAAACGTTCAACAACACAAACGGCCTCACCTTGGTCTCGCGTGCTCATCAGCTGGTGATGGAGGGCTATAACTGGTGTCACGATCGCAACGTTGTCACAATATTCTCGGCGCCCAATTATTGCTATAGATGCGGTAATCAGGCGGCACTCATGGAACTGGATGATTCACTTAAATTTTCATTGTATGTTTATATTATCTTTAGCTATTCAATATAATCAATAACATTTCTGTTTACTCTTATCTTCACCCGCACAGCCTACAATTTGATCCCGCACCGAGACGCGGTGAGCCACACGTAACGCGAAGAACACCAGATTATTTCCTTTAAGCTGTTTTTGTGCGCGGCACCAAAATTGCAGCTTACCAACATTTACACATCTTATTACACCGCATTATAACATAAAAAAAGCAAAGAAAAAAAAAAAAAAAAACTTAAACAGAAAAACAAAAAAAAGAAGTAAAAGTTGTATGGCAAGCCGTTTTGAGAATTAACAATAAGAAACTCTAAACAGAAACAACATCAACAAAACAAACTACCAATAATTGTTTCAAACCAGAAAAGAAAAAACAACAAAAAACAATATCGATGCATTTTATGTATTGTAATACTAACAATTGTTAATGCATACGAATATTGTTAAAGTAAACAATTGGCGGGTGGGGGAGACGAATGAGGGCAAGCGCCGGACGAGTCGATATCATGCTGCGAGGAGCAGCAGCACCAGTAGAAGCCGAAGCGGATAAACAATCCAATCAACCAACAACAGCAAATAACAACAAAAACCACA